ATATTAACGGGGTTTAAAATGGAACTGAATCAGTTATAAAAATGTCATTTTCTTCAGTACAAAGTAGTTATATCATATATTTGTTTGTTTGTTTTGGGTTTTACGTCACATCGACACAGTATAGGTCATATCGCGACGTTCCAGCTTTACTGATGGAGGAAGACCTCAGATGCCATTCCGTGCATTATTTATATCATATATAATGACTGCACACTAATTATATCATCATGAAATGAAATCTTTGCTTTTGATAGCGTATAAAAATCAAATATCGATAAAATAAATCAATTAGCAGCTATATAAAATGTCCAAAACATCAATAAAGATGTTTATTTCAGCTGTCAATCAGGCTTACGTCACTGGTTCTACGTTATCACATGACAATTGCGGTTAAAAACATCAATTAGCGTGTAATTTTCAGCTGTCAAATATAATTATCTCATAGCCATTTAATTACCACGCAGTTATTGCTTAAAATTGCGTATAGTTTTAGATAAGCGGATAAACAAAAACGATCACATATAAAACGTCGAGGCGGTCAGCTCTATAGCCATTTTCGTTCAAAGCTTTTGCAAGGAAACTTTCGACAATCTTTCGCAATTCATAACAATTGAAGTTTATTTTCTATTTCCTTGCAAATACTTTAATACGGACGGATAACTTTTAAAACTGTTTGAATATCTTATTCAGTATTAATATATCTTAAATATGGTTTTAATAATGCTAGTATTTATATGCATATTTTTCATGGGATCCACGACTGTTGAAACTCGATATATAGCATCAAATCAGGTAAGAAAGTTTTTATTTTCAAAAATTTCTTTAATATACTAGCTACATGAATACACATTTTATAATTGCATTATTTTTGTTAAGTGCTTAAATCAGTAAATGTGTGTCAATTACTGTACAAATAAAGGGATTTTATCTAGTTTAAAAGTCCATTATGCCTCAGAAAATAATTTGTCTTTACTTCCTTAGAAAAGGAAAACATGCATTTTATAAAATGTTTAAATAGTAGTTTAAGAAAATGTTAGATGTCAGTTACCCTGAGGAAAGTAGCGATAAATGCGAAATAATTCGTTATAAAAGCAGCAAAAATGTAAACAAAGTAGTATTTTGACTTCCGTACAAAAACAAATTTAGTATAACTGTATTTAGTACCAAAAAGCAACAGATGAATATAATTGGACTATAATTTGTTTAATATCATTTTAATTTGTATGACTCTAAATTTTTTAATTCTTCGTTACAGCGTCTGCAAATCAGTCGAGTTCTTCAACGAAGACCAGTAGAAAATATGTTCCCAAACAATGTATTATATCGGCGAAACCAACGAGTCATTTCATCTGACAAAGGCTACAACTCATACAGCGGTAGATTTACCCCACCTCGAACAAAAATGTCATCTGGGAATTCATTTTATAAATCATCCATACAACCTTCGAAAGAGAACAGCTTAGCTGAAAGGCGGTTAGGAAGTTTTGAGTCGCGAATTCACCAACAAAAATCGTTAAATAAATTAACTTTTCCGGACCGGAAGCGTAAATTACAAATCAGCCTTAAATTCAACGAACCTAATTCTGCAGACACGAATATGCAAAAACATGTTCATATTAAATCCAAGAATGTCAATGATTTGAAGATATCTCACGGGATCAAAAGTACGAAGATAACCATTGATAGGGATGGCTCACGAACAGGAATACATTTGTTCAGGAGACCAGCTTTAAGGTCAAACAACGGCATCCGAAATGTGTACCATCCGAAACATCCTCGAACAAATCATAGGCGTAAACCTTCACCGTTCAATAAAATTCAAAGGCCTACATTTCATACACAGAATGGTGAACTTGTGGAAGATGGATTAAGTTTTCAGGCTAGCACTTTTAATCCAAAATCGTGGATTATAGATAATATCTATAAACCAACAGCACGTGTCCAAACCGGAAGTACTTCCTCATCTGTTGTCTCCACTTCGGTCCCTTTCTCAGTCACAAAATCAACGGTTCAAGTTATACCTAAAAGTGAAACAACACCGACAATTCCAAGACGAGCATCAACAGATAAACCTAAACTGGATTATTTTGTAAGCGTGTCAGAAATTTCAGCTACAACAAATGGACCGTCACCGTCAACCGTGACCGAAGAACTAGACCTTCCAGATTCCCCGGATGTACCAGATTTACCGGAAGTGCCCGAATATCCAGACTCGACCACATCTGCAGGAACATTTGATTGATGATTTTTTAATATTCTTAATAGTTTTCTTCACAACATAATAACCTTCAATCTAATTTTGATTTTACTGTGTCGCTGGTCGATATAATACATTCCAATAAGCATATTTTTGTGCATAGTCTAAAAATAAAAATAATTAAAAAATGATATTTTGTAGATTTTTTTTTTTTTTGGCTAAGGTGTCATGTGATTATCACATTATGAATATACCATACTAATATATAAATTATTCAAAGTAAAATAACAGCCGCATAGGAAAACGACAATTCAACGAGGTTAATTTTAACTGAATTGGGACAATGAAACGAGTTCCTTAAGCGGTTATTCCTAGAAACGTGCTCCCTATAACCGTATATTTTTTTTAATTAAAATAAAGAAGGGAAAATTCGGGCCAAAATAAACTGTTCCTTTTAACCGGAAGTTCGCTATAACCTTGTTATAAGCATTGTACTATGCTTTATACAAATAAACTTTTCGTATTCGTATAACCGTGTTCGCTATAAGTTTACTGTAAATCAGTATTGGATAAGTTCTTGTCAAATTAGCCTCGTTTCCATTTTTCGAAAAGACTACATCAAATGTATAAAAATGTGTTCTTTATCACATACCTGTGCCGAATTTGCGACTCCCTAAAAATGATATTACACAGTCGTACATATATTTTGACGTGACGTCATTTGCGTTATACAAACAAAGCGTAAAGACTTGTTAAATGTAAGCGTTCGTTACATTACAGACGCGTCAGTGAAAAAATAATTATTCTTTTGCACTTTTAACAGTCTTTCCTTTTAACTATGTGACAAATGGAATATTATATTTGTGTAGGTTCATTACCGAATTTATTTAACTCGTTGAATAAAATAATATTTTGCTCGCCAAAGGCTCCCATAATATAATTCTATTCAACTCGTTGAATAAATTCAGTATTAAACCTACACTCATCCAATGCAAAAGTGCAACATTCCTCGTGGTCCCTGGTACCGGTTTGAGGGGTACTTAATTTTCAAAGCTTAAAAGCGCTGGAATAAATGATTCCCAAGGACCAGAAAAATATAACAATTCTGTAGTGAAGTATGAGCTGCCACACGTTACTTGACACCCGCTGTTGTGAATGATAAATATCCGGAAGAATGGTGATCATTATACATATCATTATTATTATTATTATTATTATTATTATTATTATTATTATCAATAATAATAATACTAATCATAATAATAATAATAACATCTTTTGAGTTTGATAAGATAGTAAGAAACCTGCACCTATAAAATCATCTAACCATATGCTACCGTATCAAGCATGAAGGCATTTAACAGGTAGATATCATTTACCTTTATTTTCTATCTTTATTTTTTATGATTTTGTTGCGTATTTTTTTTGTTCCATTTTATATATCATTTAATTCCAATAATATTGTACATTTCTTGTAGTATTTAAAACATCTATACGAAGCGATGCAATAACTATTAAAACGGTGTTAAAGTCTTGAAGGCGGTCGACTACAGTTAATTTATACAATACACCAACACATCAAACTCTTAGGTAATCTTTTACAAAAATAAGGAACTAGAACTATTGCAACAACTATTTTAAAAGTCAACTTAATGTCTAGTTGGCTTTTTTATCCTCTAGTTTAAATCTAGCTATTTATTTCAGTGATTAAATTTTTCATAATATAATAATTCTGTGCGTGATACTTTATGTAGTCGTACTGTTACAGTAATGTTTTCCCGCCAAAACTTCTAACATCGGCCAATATCGTAGTAAATCGGTTATTTCCGGGACGTTATTTTTTCGATATCTTGGGCGTAAGATTATTTCCAATCACTCATTCTTTATCATTCTGTACTAAATTCCGGTTATGAAAGGTTTAAAATTATTGAATACCGAAGCTTGTGAAATATTATGTTCCGTAAATGACCAATTTATTACGATATTGGCCGATGTTAGACAATTTTTGGCGGAAAAACATTACAGTAAGACTACCTTCAGAAACGCCATCTCTGTCTCCTTAAATTAATGAGATGTAAATGTCATCCTCATCATTATCAGAACAACATAATTATCTTTATTTCTATCATCAGTACAAATATCTTACACTTTAAAGGGCAAACTTGAAGAGGACAACAATAGCATTATTTTAGGGCGAAAGAGCTACTGAAAGTTTCACCACGTATGTAATGTCAAACAATTTTGCAGACTGGTGTAATGCTTCAGTGTTACAAACAGGGAATCGTTTTGATGTCACGTTAATGACGTCCTGTATAATATTAATCTTTTGACGATTTTCTATCAAAGTAAAAATAATTTCGGCATAACAATCTAATAAAAGATGATGAATATGGAGCATTTTTTCCTTTTCATAGTTCTTCAGGTTACAACTAGATTCTCTTTGGCTTCTGAAATCGAATTAATGTTATCAAACCTTACCAAAAAATGTTAAGGAGTTTTTCAGGCTCTGGTCGTTTGGATGGTTTGAAAATATAAATTGTGAACAACACTAAAATATTGTAATCTGTTTTTCCTTAACACTATATACAAATTTTGATATACAATAGGTGATGCAAGAACAGAAAGGCAGCCAAATGTTCTTTATCCAAAACATTTATAAATATATTTCTTTTTCTGTTTCTGTGATTCAAACGCATTAGACAACGGTATAACGAAAGCAGCATTTTTGTTCGAATCTCAAAAAGGATGTAGTAAGTAACCTTAAAGAGGGAAGTTTGAAAAGACAAATATATTGAAAATATCATAAACTTAACGATACAATATGTCTTTATTGACAAAGTAGCCAACATGACTATGAACATAATTTTATGAAAACACATGTTTAAAATGATTAGATTTTAATAAAAGCATCTGTTAAAACAAACAAAAAAGACAACGCAAATAATTAATAATTTTTTATGAAATACGAATAGCGACTACTTACAGCCGATGTAACATACGAAATGAATGGAGTTTCGCCAGTTTTTGCCATTTCAAAAGCTTGCAGGCCTCAAGGGTGTTATTAGGCATTATGATACTCGCACAATGTCGCAATGCCCGCATGGCATAGGCCCTAGCCCGCGCTAGCACATATACTTCATATTTGTTGTTGCTGTTGTTGTTGTTGTTTGTATCAGTGGTTGTTGCTACTGTCACGAACTCACTGGTCCGATCCCGTTGCATATTTAACATTTCAAAAGCTTAGAGACCCGGATTAAAAATAATATAAGACACATGAAGCTCGTTAAAAAAGATTAAAACTAATTGGTTTCAAAAAAATTTTAATAATCAAAATGACGTAGATGGCGAACATAATATTAATTTCTGTAAGGAGTTCAATAATGTAGAAATGAAGATACACGAATATAATGCTGAGCCTCGTTCTTTATACCATATGTATTATCGGGTTTAAAAAATGAGCACTCTAATTGAGACAACAATAGTTAATCTCAACCATTACCGTGCTTTTACTTTCAATTTGTATAACGCAATTGATGTCACATTGCCAAGTTGTAACACAACACAAGTGCATTATTATAATACTATTTTAATTAGAATGATTTATTTAAGTGATAAATTAGGGAAAAAACTATGGTGGCATATTTCTGCCACTATATAATCATATAACTAACTAGTTAATTAAGAGGTTAACTAGTTACGTAACTAGTTAACCTCTTAACTAATTAGTAAGTTATCGGGTTAACTAGTTACGTATTTAGTTAACCTCTTCATTAACTAGTTATCAGGTTATTTGGTGGCAGAAATATGCCACCATATTAAACTGATATAAAGCTTATTATATTGTCTTTTCGTTTAGTTGATTCTGATATGATATGCTCAAATATCAATTAATTATCCAATTACAAATTAAACACTTTATCGCTAATTATTTGGAAAGCCCCGACCTTTTAATAAACAAACCTATACAGAGGCCCTAGTCAATTAACATAAATTTATATCCACAAAGTACAAGAATAATAGTAGTTTGTAAGTGACATTCTATTTATTTAAATCAGTATATTATGAATATACGTAAACATTAAGCGAGATTAAGACTGTTGTCATAGTCATTGACACGACGCTATGACGTCATTGACATGACGCAATGACGTCATTCCAATGTTTACTGTGAATAAACTCTTCATCCTTAGATACAAATGTACACAATCTCCGTCAGCGATGTATCCTTCTTGTTATAAAAGTGATCCTTCTTTTTTAGAATCAACGGTGGGCATTTGAGGCACATCCGACTGGAAAGTGAGAGAAGTCGCTTCTAAATTCCTATTTTTTTTTTTTTTTGGACTAAGCTCACTGTTGTCCTGGTCAGAACTTGTGCCTGGTTGAGAAACCATGTTGATATCTGTATCCTCTAAGATTTTTGCCTTTGAAGATCTGAAGCCATCACATGAAAAGTGGCATGAAATTCAAGTTTACAGGTAAGATCTTTTCTCTCATATATTTTCTGCATGAATAAGACTATTTTGATTTTAGACACATTTAAATTGATTCATAACATTTTTTTTAAAGTCATTTGTATTTATTCATGAAATTTATTTTTTAATCATTGCATTTATTGAATCCGAAGTTGCTTTTATTACCATATTTTAAAGAAACTTCTACATTTAAACAAGAGTTCAGTACATAACAATGTAGAAGTAGTGCATTTAATCGCATCATTGCAATAATTAGCATATTATTAAGTCTGGAATCCGAGGTTGCTTTTATTACCATATTTAAAAGAAACTTCTACATTTAAACAAGAGTTCAGTACATAAAATATTTAAAAGTTGTGCATTTAAACGCTTACTCATCAGACCTCATTTATATAGATAAGAAGCAATTATGTACTTTTGGAACCCTCCTTCCCTTACGTCGCACCTCGGTTAAACACACAGAATACAACGGTCGGAAGCAGTTAAGCGCTTAATTTACATGTTTACAAGACATAAATTTCTCGGAATAAAAGTCGACAAAAGTGATGTTATTTCACAGATGTAAAGCATAATGATCTCCTGGAAGTTGTACTTCTCGCTGGCCTTTAGGCAATATATCACTATGTGAAAAAATGTTAATATTAGAGTTATAAACGCCTTTTTCGGTTAGATATTTATTTCTTTGCTCTTCTGCTTTGTATGCAAAGAAAAATGGCCACTTGATATGTCACTTGCTTCGTTCTGAATAGTGATCAAAAGTATCTCCACATATTAATTAACCCCATTTTAAAGCTCTTTATTCTTTAAATTTTATAACACACGGATGATGGCAATATTACTGTATTTTTACGAGCTTGAAATACTTACCTGTATCTACTGTAAATAAGTATGGCTACTGTTATGACAACGAGGCCACACAAATAGCCAGCTGTGATCCCAGTTACTGTAATAAACGTACAAAATATTCATAAAGACCATTTCAATGTATTCATTTACGTAACTTCACAATACCTTTCGTTAGACGGATGTGTTTGGAAAACGCATTACGAATATAGAACAAATTCTTATATTCTAACTCTATCAGGCAATCTTCAACTCTATTCATCTTCGATATATAAACAATATTGTATGCCATTCTATAGTCATACTTTTCTTTAACTACTATTTGGTTTGAGTAGCATGGAATTTTCGCTTGAGAAAATTTATTTATTCAACGTTTAAAATGGATCATATAGAAAAATCTTTTCAACATCGCATATATACACTGCATAGACATAAAACCAATCTGTAACATGATGAACACTGACATTACCTGTAAATCCGTCTTCTTGAGGCACAATAACATTCACTGAAAATAGAAAACAATCTTGTTAATGAAGGAAAAACACGTGTATATGTTGACTGTAAACGCTTCTGTCTTTATGTTTAAATAGCATGATAAGTGATTGATGGAAACTTTAAACTCTTACCACGATACACGTTTTATATTAACTTGATTTTTTTTCTAATCTGGACAAAACCATTTATGATTTTCGGGAACATTTCAAAATACGTCTTGGCTGAATAGCGACCAGCTGAGCAAGCAATTAATATACGGCTTATCTGGATCTGAATTAGTCGGATATGTCGATTATGCCAGCAGTATAACGGTTGAGTACAGTTGTAGTCGTTTTAATGTTTTATCAAAAATGAATACCAAAACCATCTTATATGCTAGTTTGACATATAAATGGTGCATGTACACGTGATACATGTAATAATGTTCATGCATGCATTAAGTGCACTCTGAATTCACTGCAATGTTGTTGGTTTTTTTGTGAACGGATTAAAAAAAACACAACATAAATTAGATTTGCTTGCGTGGCAACAGAATATATCATGTATACCACAACTTGGCAATAAAGACAAAACCAAATTACAAAAAATGTAATAAATTATACACAAAATTTATACCAACATACATTTATTAGAATATAAATGTACCTGTGCATTCATTAATACTTATTGACTGAATTCCAATAGTTCTTTTTCCTGGCGGACAGTTTACACAATAAGATTGTCCCTCAAGGGTCTGGTAAGTCCCTACTGGACATGGTTTACATATATCCGTAGTCAGATATGAACCCTTTCCACATGGCACTGAAATAGAAACAAAACGTTCAAAATAACTATGCATTATCAACTGAGACTGACCAGATTTCAAATTTCGCCCTGATAGCTGATTACTTTTTTAAACTTATTTTTTTTTAATTAAATTTCCCTAAATATCGTATTCATGTAAGCAAGCTTATTAAGACCTTTGCAGACGTCCTATGCACTACATATTTAAATTGTTATTATCTAAAAGTATCTTGTATACATTTGTTTTCTCAATCCTAAATAATTAATGAACATATAGTTTAATATTTAATTTATCTAACTATTAACTTCTCTTTCTTACTCAAGTTTTTTCTTATCTAATCGTGTATTTTAATATATTTATTTCAACTGTCACAAATAAAGAATTTTGTTATCAAATTGAAATATTGGATATTCATATATCAGTCAGCCAGCGTATCTCCAAAAGTGTGCGCATGCGTACGCCCGTATAAAATATTTATAAGTATATCAAATAAATGTAAAGTGAAAATGAAGAAAAATAAATTAAGATCCGATATACTTTTTCGTTTTATTTCCGGTGAGTAAATGAGGTTTTCAAATCACACCGCAAAGTATTACGAAACATCAATATGAAAGTGGGCGGAGTCAAAACGAATTTTTATTTTAAGGGAGTTCTTCCGCCGTTTTGTTTAAAAAAAACCTGATAAATACAAAACAACTTTTCTTGAATTTTGTTTTGAAAACTATCTAGAATGATAGAAAATGATCTAACTAAGAAAAATAATCCGAACGCCAATATCTTTAATTCAGTAATTAACGCTGTACAGACGTTAAAAGAGTTGTTCACATGACATCACAATGTAGCGCCAAATAGCGCGTGCTTACGCATAAATTACTGCGCGCTTTACAATTGCAGTTGGTAGCAAGCAAGGGGATTCGTTACTACATTTGTATTTTCTTAGATAATGAAATTAAACATAAAGGTTATTTTTTCGGGTTTTTTTGTGAAATATGGTATATATTTTCACGAAACATGATAAAATGGCACATATTTTCACGAGCCGTACTGAAAATATGTGACATTTAATCATGTTTCGTGAAAATTTATTCCATATTTCACGCAAACAAAAAAAATCCTCTTGTTATAATATTTGGTATAAAATGTTCAAATGATGACGTTAATGATAATTGATGTGTATAGTCAGGGTCATATCTATGGGCAACAATCAAATACATAGAATATATATTAGAATATAAACGTTCAACCTGTTGACAGTGATTACAGTAGAGTATTTTCAAACAGCTAATCTCAGACCAAACACAAAGTTATAGGGGCTTGTCTTGTGAGATACCAAGCTGCTGACCATGCTGACAGTCACCCGTTATTTATTTCATTTTAAGGAAAATAAGATTAAATTAACAAAGGAAATATACGACATATTCTTAACAGGCGACAATTTTACCAGCATGCAAAGGATTTTAACCGTCTTAATAGGGACAACCAAACAAGCAGACAGGCATAAAACAGACGAAATCAATATGCCCCCGTATCAATGAAAGGCAGTTATACTATAAACGTATCAACACACCACAATAAAACTTGACTTTTGTTTCGCCAGGTCCACATTTCACGTCACCTTGTATTTCAGTAGAATTGCTTCTTAATTCATAATAATCGCCAAGAACTTGAACAGTGAGATCACCAGAATCTGCTGCATTTTGGATGTTTTTAAATGCATCCACAAGGTCTTGCATGGTTTCATTTTTATTTTCTAAAAGAACAAATGCATTGTTAAACCCTTGAATATCATGATTGACTACCGGGTATAAATTCATTTATATCTAAAGACAAACAAATGAGGTTACAATTTTCTTCTTTCTTTGTTGTCATTATTAAAATTCCTTGCCCTTTTAGATAATTATTAGTATGACAAATGAATATGAAATATAAGTTTAATGAGAGGGCAACATACACATTTGTTTCCTTCATACCTTCGGTTGGATTTGTTTGTATCTGTAAACTGAATCCAGCTGTCGTCTCCACAGCACGTCGCTTTCGACCATTGCTTTCACTTTCGCAATCAATTATCTTTATGTAATTTAAGGCGCATGTGTTTTTCACTAAGCATGCAACATTTGAAAGCATCGTGTTGACAGTAAGGTCTATCTGTTCTACAGCAAAATCTTCGAGATCCTGATTTGCACAATAAAGGTCTTCATAGTGTGCCGAATATATGACAGTCATCTCTTTGGGTACTTTTATTTCTGCAGTTTTAAAAATGAACAACAAGTCATACTTGTGTTTATGTAAATATATTTTTAACTAAACCTTTTTCAGATATCAAAAAAATAATACGGTTTCAGATGGTTTAGATTGCGTTGACCATTTATGAAATTATGAATAGGCTCAAAAAAGGAACTCTGCATTATTTTTGAATTCTTTGTAGACCCATGCTCATTTTGAGTAACCACGTTTAACTCGTTTTGTACAGAATTAACCAAAACTGTCGAAAACGGTCTTTGAAGAATATACGATATAAAATGTCTTTGTACTTGATTTACTTTTAATCAAGTCTTCCATTTTGTAAATAACCTCAGCCAAAGGTAAAAAGCTTTTGATTAGATATTTGTCTCTTCCAGGTAACAATATCAACATAAAATTGTTATCATACAAACACACATTTACCCAAAAAGGTGATAAATGAATGAGGTATTAATTTCCTTTGACTGAGTTGCACAACAACTCCTGTTCCCGTCAATTTCGCTACAATGAACAGTGTAGTGTGATCGAAATAGATATGTGTTTCTTATCTATGTACGAACATAAGATCATATGTTGATTTTGTTACAGCATGTATGTACAGAAAATGATTTTTTTTCAAGGCAAATTTGATTTGCTTTGACTGAGTTGCATAACAACTCCTGTTCCCGTCAATTTCGCTACAATGAACAGTGTAGTGTGATAGAAATGTTTTTCTTATCTTTGTACAAACATTAGATCATATGTTGATTTTGTTACAGTAATGAATATAAGATTTTTTACCGACACATCTTGGTATTCTCCTCTCGGGGTTTTCGTCTGATTGATAGTTCCATTCCTGGAATGTATGCGGTCCGCAGTAGTATAATGGAAGAGGTTCTATATCGAAGTCAAAACCGTCGTCACATGACATTGTGCAGTTGATTGTATCTGTGTCATTTATACAATCGAGAGATCCATTTACCGGAGCAGGAATTTCGGGACATACTAAATATAAAAAAACAATAATTTGTAAATGTTCAACTAGAATTCCAATTACCCTGACATATTTCGATATGATTAAAGTTCATATCAGAGATAAATCTTTAAAAATACCTCTCCAAAACATGTTTAATATTGTTTAATAACTTTTTATTACCGGGGACATTTGGATTTTGTCATGTGAGGACGCTACCCGGAAAGAGTTAAGAAGAACGGTGATTCTACTCAGGTGACTTTTTGATTCTAAACAGAATACATGAAGGGCACATGGGGTCTTCCTCCTTCAGTTCAGCTAAAATAAGATGCAAAATGTCATTGTTAGTTTCGAAGAGAGAGACTAAAAATCAAATAGTAAATAATATTTTAATTTGTACTCAGCAAAACGATACAGATGAACAAAGGAATGTAAAACAGGCGATAAAATGCAAGCTTGTAGGACTGTGCACACCGAATAATTAAGTGATAAACTTAGTAAATCATGCCATTAACATTTACCTGGACAGTCAGTGTTGTTACAAGTTATAAAATCAAACGTGTCCCCATGGCAATCTTCTCCTCCATTATCTGGGGAAGGACTGTTACAGAGCCGTTTTCGTTTTCTCTCTCCGTCACCACACGTCGTAGAACATTCAGACCAGTTTCCCCCATCCACTTAAATAAACATGTAGATATGTTTAAGAAATACACATGTAAATGAAATGAGTTGAGTAAACGTTTTCTTAATTGCATTATATCAATGATAAGAAAAATGTAACCAAGTCAATATCAGCAAATTTTTTAATTATATGACGGATCTAATTATTGTCATCACCTATTTTACCAGTTAAAAAAAGATGATGGCTATTTCTGTGTATTCTGACATGCGACATGTACTTTTATGGAAAGTAATTTTATTATTGTTGAATTTATATGTACACATTAGAACTTGTTTTTAATTTTCTTTAATAATATAATGAATTTAAGAGCATGCCGGTTTTTCCTGTTACAATATTTTGTCCACATATTGCTTCTTAGGCATTTAGGAAAAAATAGAACAACTAAATTCATCTTAGATTGATTAATAATTTTTATTTCGTATAAGGGTTTGGTTTCCAAAAAAGTAATTCACCCATTTCTATCTCACAAAACTGCCCGGTGAAGTTAGATGGGCAAGAGCAGAAGTAGTTTGAAATGCCATCAATACATGTTGCATTGTTCATACAGACATCTGCTTCACAGTCATCAATATTTAATTCACAATGCATCCCAGAGAATCCTTTGTCACAAGCACATGTAAATCCGTGAAGAGCGTCCGTGCAAGATCCATGGAGACAAGGCGAGGATACGCAATTGTCGAAATCTGTTAATATACGATTTCTGGTTTAAGCAATGCTATATATTATGCATATTAAATACATCTTTATAATCTAAGATTGAAATGTTATATCTGAACATCTTTATTCGGACTAAAAGTGATACTTTCCATAATCTACCTTAACATATAACATGTCAGTCTGAAAAGATATTTACCATCGACGTTAGAATCCAAATGCAATTCAATATAACAAAACGCAAACATTAATGTATTTTACATAATATGGTGGATTTCTAAAACAGACCATCACACTGGCTTGGAATATCCATATATGCCCCTGTAATTTCGGCTTCTTCCATGGTCTTCCAAGAGAACACATCGCCAATATCATTTGAAAAACACCTATGCTTATATCCTGTTTGATGTCTACCACGCCATATATTAAGCTGCGACAAACTTCCGCTAGTTTTGTTGTCTGAATATAATTTTGTGAAAATATATCTTCTCTTATGGTATAGGTAGACTTAGAAAGTTTGATTTGTTTCATATTATTATTACCGGGTTTTTAACTCACTTATTTCCGAAACGAAAAGTTATCATTGCTGACGCATCTACTATTTTTCGCCATTTATACATAAAAACAGACAATGTTTATAATAATCAAAAATGAAATAGTGGATCAATATGGTGATATTAAAATAAAAATATTACGTTTTAAAGCGCATAAAATATCAATTCAACATATAACAAGATAAACGAATGTTTGTTTCATTTGCAATTTCTTTGCAACACATGTAAAAGCAGAAAGATTACTTTGAACTTGAAAACATTTTTATCGGTGTATGAGATTAAAATGATTTCTAATAAATTATTTATCATAAGGGAACCAATATGCATTTTACAGGACACGGTTTAAAAGCTAACTATGCAAAACAGCTTTAGTTTTCCAGTTTCAGATAAACGTAAAATGATTTCCGTTGGTCTGTTATACCTGCGGTTATAGACACCGAGTTGAAAGTTATATCTGTGCATCCTCCACTTATATCTACTACAGGTAAAACCATACCATCTACAGACACGGATACCATACATTTAGCACTCCTATACAATGTTATAAAGTGCCAGCGTGTGTCAGGAAGACCAAAGTAAACTGTACTTTCACTGCATATAAAATTATAGTTAGTGAAATATCTTACAGAACTAGGATTGTTAACATTTAAATTAACAAAGCAAACATCTGGAACAAAATCAATTCCTTTTACATTCAGATTGTACACAATAAGAAATGAATTTTCAACGATGTATAAATCAAACTTTAGAGTATTTGTCGTTTATGTTCTTTGTAATGTAATGATATACAAATTTGATTAAATGACATAGTGTTTGTAATGTAATGATATACACATTTGATTAAATGACATAGTGTTTGTAATGTAATGATATACAAATTTGATTAAATGGCACAGTGTTTGTAATGTAATGATAAACAAATTTGATTAAATGACAGAGTGTTTGTAATGTAGTGATATACAAAATTTGATTATATTAAATGACATAGTGTTTGCAGATATTTTAGCGTAAAGCAAATAAAGTAAAAAAAATAATGAACTGTTTCAAATAGTGTGCTATAAAATGAACAGTTTCAAATACGTGCTATAAAATGAACAGTTTCAAATACGTGCTATAAAATGAAGTTCTCGGAAATGCTAAATTAGTTCTTTATTTAATGTTTAACATTTATTATAAAACAATATCTATCAAACAATCAAGTTATTGCTTAATTGTGCTTGTTTGTTTCATCTTTCATATAATCATGTCTTTAATCCGAATACCGATATGGCTAACCTCTTTTTCTGTTTTGCATTTCTCAATTCTTCCCATAGCCAGACGGCTTCTTTTTTGTTATTTGACAATGTAATAGTTGGAAATTTGTCAATACTAGAGTTGTTAGTTGCGGTGTTTCGAAACCAGAATGTTAGTGTGAAATCTTTAATGCTGACATTGTTATGTGATGCCATATGTATTTCTGACTTATCTTGATCAATCAACTCAATGTCAAACTCTGAAAGAAATATTTTTATTGTGATAATTTTCTGTTTTTGCCAGTGTTTTAGTCTATTAAAATCCATGAAAAACATTACTTAATAGTTAATATATTCAAGTGAACTTTTATTTGCATTTTTTAATTAGTTTAATCATCAGAAACTAGGCTATTTGTAGAATTCTACCAGTTTATATAATCGCACAACAAGTATTAATTAACTTAACTTAAATTAACTTAAATTAATTAAATGCAGTTTTTAACAAAAAGAAGAAAAAAAATAACCAGAAATTGAAAATTGTATGTTTATATAACTAAATGAATATTTTTTTTAATTCACTAACGCCGTTACTATTACCTTTACAATCAGACGCAGATGTCATACCAAATGTCAATGTAGACTTTGAGCCACGGCATGGACGACAAAATGTCTGCCCATACGATGCTTGGTATTGTCCCTGCTCGCAAGGAGTGCATGGCATGAGTCCATCATTGGAATATGTCCCTGGTAAACACGCCCCTTTTATATAAGAAAATATAATGCAGCATTAAATGTGAGTAAGCAGGCGTATATTTTTGTATCAAATAAAATCATAGATGCATTCGCTACATAAGTATTCTTTTTCCTAAAATTATTAAGATTGACTCCATTGACGATAAAAGAAAGCGATACACTTACTTAGTGCATTTGAATTGTAATGTACCTTCACAATGATGGGCAGATGTCGCCCCGACACTATGTGTTGTTGTTCCAAGTGGGCAACGTATGCAGGATAACTGTGCCGCTCTGTCTTGAAATGCCCCCTTTCTACACACCTCACATATCGAAGAGCCTGAGCCTCTTTTATAAAATGTTCCCTCAGGACAATCAACTGAAAATAGTATTCAAATATAAAAGGTTTTTGTTTTTTTAACACTCTAAAAATCAAATTGCAAAATTGGAGTCTTTGTTCAATAATGAATAAATATGTCAACCAAGAAATCAACCATACAACTAAATACCACAAAACACATAATCTTACTTGTAAACATGAATTTAAGTTCTCAACAGTCTATAAATAAAGTACCATGACAGACTTCAGTCCAGACTTCAGACTGACTTATTTTCGTAAAAAAAGGCAAAATAGCTATACACCGGCTTAAACAGTATTTATTTTCTTAATTTTCTAAATCTTAAATGATGACATCGGATGACCAGATAAATGAAAAATCCATTATTGAAGTAGACAGTTATGAGTTATGTAATAAGTATAGAATCTTACTGCAATCCAAGCTTTGTTCCGACTTCACTGACCCTTTTGGACATTCTATCTGTAAACCTTTCGTCACATACTCTTTTTGCGAGACGGTCGCATTGCCAAATATAGCTTTAACATTCTTATTAAGAACATCCTGTACACCATCTAGAAGATTAATATACCTGTCTTCCGCTGTATACAAACTTTCGTTACTAAGCAACGTAACAGGTAGTTTTGCAGTAATAACAAGAATATTCTTTGAGTCTGCGTTTCTTCTCTTCCTACTGGATTCTCCACACGTTATCTTAAAGTATAAGACTGTTTACTGCTGCTATGTCCTACTTTTTCTTTTTTTATCTATCAATTTAATTTTATTGTTTGTTTACACAGAAAAAAATCAGATATTAATATATATACTTATTTTCCTATCTTAATAGAAGTCAATACCAATTCGCATATAAATGTATTTCAATTAAAACCTCTATACTAATTGCATATATTTTAGCAATATCAAAGTTTAACGCTTTTTATATGAACCTTTACTTCTCAGAAATTGTTTTCTACTCGGGAAATTATATCTGTTATTAATTGAAGGGATGGTGCAATTGCTAAACTTATCTTTGAGCAAGAATATATCTATTTTTAACATTATAGCAAAAAGAATCTGTCGACAAGGATTACGAATTTCAACGTTCAAATCATGAAGCATGATGCTACCTATATACCTAACTAGTATTCTCGAATATCATACATACATGTACATTTCCTTTGTTACATTCCATAGAGTTTGGACACGCTTCATCTTGATAGAGACTGGCTTTCAAACGTTCAATAAAATTGTTAGAAATTTGTTGTTTGGTTTTTGGATCGGTACATTCCCCGTCAAAGTAGTAGTAAACTTCTATCCCTATATGCTGGGACACATGGTGACTTCGTACCGCTTAAATCAAATGCATTAAATTACCAATAAAAGAAATGTATGTGTTATTACCATTTCATCTTCCTCACATTAGCACCATGCCTACATATTGATCCTTATTTTGATAGAATTTAGACAGTTATCAAAATAATAGACTGTGTCCAATGAACACAAACAATGAGTAAGCCTATGACACTTAAAATATCCAATATTCATGGTAAAGTGACAGTAATAACAACAACCATGTATTGCATAGCATTTCATAGATTAAGAATATTCATGCAATACTTAAAGTCTCACTTAGCTTTGATATTTTTAAAATATGTATGCTCTTCTACATCAGAAATACCAGGCAACTAAATGCGTTTGATTTTACTGGAGGCTATGCATCTCTTAGTTCTAATTGGTTTGTTTGTTTGTTTGTTTGTTTAATTGGGTTTTACGTCACACCGACACATAATAGGTCAAAAATCCAGTAGGTCGGGTGGTTTTGACCTCTTTTGCTTTAAGTTTGTAACACCCGATCAAAATCATCTTTCCTGTGTCGGTGCCATATGCCTTAAATTTTGTTGACGCATCGTAAAACAAACAAAACACTGTAGGCGTGCCACTTAAAATTACTACACTACATTTATGCACCAGAAATAACATTGTGCTTTTTGACGCATTGTACATAAGTAAAAAACAGCACTTTGAATATCTCATATTATTCCATTAAAGCTGCGACTTAAATTATCTAAAGAACAGACGGTAAAAATGTCTTGAAAATATTGGTATTGTGAATAATGTTACAATTTACCTCTACATGTCTTCACCTTTGGTGGATCACTTGACCATTCACCTTTCTGACCTTGACAAACGTACAGTTTGTTTAAACTAACGCTAGACATTTGAGTACCATTCTTACATTGCACTTGACAAAACTCGCCTCCTTCCCAGTTGTCACAAACTACAGCGCCGTTCTTAGGTGGCGGAATATCCGCACAAGTCCTGCCATCTAGAAAACAAAGCTCGTCATTAAATTCTTGTCACATATTTCATATTTATAATGACGATTCCTCATTTTGAACCGATTAAATATTAACTCTCTCTGTAGAATAAATTTCCAACATTGGTTTTATCAAAACTGTATACAGGTTAAGAAACATCAAACAAACTATTCATTTTAGCTCCAAGTGCATCTTGGGTCTAGCAGGACAGGATAAAGACAGTGGAAGCTGTATCGATGTTGATTTTTATATGATGCTCATAGATTGGCTACAGTTTTCTGGGACTTACATTGAAAATAACTTCATCGTATAACTATTAAAACAAAAGAGAAATGGCTACAGTTTTCTGGGGCTTACATTGAAGACAATTATATCGTATGACTATTTAAACATAAGAAAAATGATATCAAAACACTTGGCTGATTACTACCCAGGGTAACTTTCCTCGTGCAAATAAATAACATCGTTCTTTTACATCAACTTACAAATCAATGATACAATATATGTCAAAATTTGTCAGATGTCATCTCTGTAAATATCTTAATTCTCGAGGCAATGGTAAAAAAGCCTTGGATTGACGTTTTTTCCTAAAAGAAGCAAGGAATAGCAATTACGTTTCCAAAAGAGGGAACTACAAGCATATATGACATGGTTATCATCGCTTCATTTAAAAACTTTATAATTAATATTTTCACATCAAAGGAACACTTATCACAATCTTACTGATACAAGTCGACTGTACACTTTCTTTCCAGTTCCAGACACCGTATAAATATGTTAGGTTTCTTTTACATCTGACATGATCTGAGCCGACCAATACCTTACCAGGATCACAGGAAATGTTACAACTTGCACCAGAACCGTAACCGTTTGGACAATTAATTTGGAGGTATGGTGTGGGGTAAAGCTTCGAACATCTGATTTCTGAAATAGCAATAACAAACGGTATAACCAGGAGAATATGTCTATATCGCATATAGGACAAAAACGTACAGGTACTTAGTATTACCAAATATATATGTAACAATGCACCTAACAACAAAATCTCTCAAAATCACGTCATTATAGTCATCCCTTTAAAAAATCTAAATTATTTATATAAATTATGAAAATTTCAAATTTATTTAAATGTATTCCTATGGATAAAAACCTATAAATCAGAAGATAGAGCGCGTTTCTTAGACTATAATTATTATATTATAATACTTTTCGTTTATATAATTTTCAAATTATTCTTTATGATTGCTTTTAGAGCACAAGAATAAATCAATACACTAATAATATTCGATGCATGCTGTAAACTCTGCATGTTAACTCATTCATAAAAAGCATGATTTCTTTTACCATTGCTTGCAATAATATGTATCCAATCATTTGTGGACTCTGAAGCTCAACCTTACACTTGTACTTTTCATATTAAAAATTAACTTGACCTGAGCATAGAGAATTATTTTCTTATAAAATTAGCGGTAAAATGTATAAGAATGCACTGCAGTTATCAAAAGGTGTGGTTCGTGCTTATAATCATTGGAGTTGACTATTAAATGAGCATTGGTCAAGACAATCTTTGACATGAAATATAAATACCATATTTAAAAAAGTTGGTGTCTCAATGTTTCGTTAAAAATATCAAAATATTTTAATTTTACTACATTTACTTTATTTCATTTCTATAACCAAATCAGGAAAGTTATAATACACAATTGAAAAGCATGTTATGCCGGAAGAAAAACTACGACTTGCAAGCATTTGTACTTTTGTTCACAACACAAAATAATAAAACATAACGGAGACCACCTTCAAGCTGTTCTATAATTTAGCAAAGTGTGAAGTTCGTTACATACCCCGAACAATAATTCTAAATGAGCAGTTGTTAAAAGCAATGTTCCCGGCAGCATCTTGTGCTCCATACCATACCGAATATATACCCGTAGTAAGTCGGACACCAGGGGAGTAACCGGGTCTACTTTCTATAACTGCATTGTTGCTATTATCCATTACTTCGGGTGGTTTCCAACTAACTATTGTAGAGTTCAGACCTGGATCAGTGCCTGCTACGACTATACTTGGACACGTCCCAGATTTAAATGTAGGTGGCTCAACATCTAAGACAAAAATGATTATAAAAATTGTAACAAATTGTAAGTATGCATTTTCTGATTCTGAAACATTTTAAGATATAAAAATGTAAAACATAGTTTGGAAGGACAAAAAGACGGTGTGCACGTAAAATGACTATTCCTGCAAGAGAGACTAAATTTACATTAAATTTAACTGACGTTTTCCTAAACTACTGAAGCAGCTTTTCTAAAATGTCATGTAAAGTTACATGGCCTGTCAACCTTACATTGCACTTGAAATACAAATGTAATGATATGACTGCTTACCTATAGAGAAAAAACTTACTTGTGGCAGATAAACAGCTATTTTTTTAAATATTTCAAGATATATTGGAGATCGATTTCAATACAAAAAACTATAATCAAGAACTTTTAAAATCGTATGAAATATTTTGCATTTATTAGATATCAAAAGAAAATCGTAAACAATATATTATTTAAAAGAAGTTTTTTATTGAATAAATATTAACTATTTACAATCCTTAGAGGTTTCAAACATCATTTTCAAAATTGTGCGTACAATTTTACAAGCTGCAAACAAAAAGAAAAAAATACCAATGCATTTTGGTGTGCCAAACGATCGCCAGGACTTGGTTCTGTCACACACCAATGTTTTACTAACTTTTGGTGGCATATCAAATCCAGTGCCACAATTGTATGAACAAATGCTACGAAAGTTGAATTCATCTGTACATGATGGTTCCCCAGCTCCCTCTAATCGTTGTAAAGCAGGGCACTTCAAGGCTAAAATTTATGTAATTGTATGACTACAAGGATATGCACCATTTGTATTTCATTACAATTTGTTTCTTCACAAAATATATTTTATGAACAATAAGGAAGTTAAACTACTGTCTCCATCATTCAGGTGTAAATTCAACAACATGTCAATGAAATAACTATTTCAATGTAATTGATCAATAGTGTTAAATGCCAATTTCTCAGGGAGAAAATATTTTATGATATTTGTCTTTTAAAATATTTTTGACACTAATTTAGCAAATAAGAAGCAAAGAACAAACACTTTTCCGTATACTTGGATGCGTATTATGTTTACGGAAACGAAATAATATAACACTTAAATCTTGAAAAAATTCTAGTCGATACTCAAGTATTGCGGTAAACTTCTGCGTTAAGTAACCGAAGTGCGCAATGAATAACTATATTTGCTTTAAAAAATTCATGAAATAGTAACAAAATTACAAAAAGAGGTGGTTAAGAAGTGTTTACCTGTACATAGATTCATTTATTTTAGAAATACTCTCTAGCAAAAAGTAAAATAAGCCTTGGGGGCGTTTTTTCCCAAAAGAAGCAAGTAATAGTGATTACGTTTTCAAAAGAGGAAACTACTAGCATACATGTATATCACATGGTTAGCATCACTTCATTCAAAAACTTTATAACTGATATATTCACATCAAAGGAACAATCTTATTGATCAGTCGATATCGATAATCGATAAGTCTATATTTCTTATAGATAGATGTAGATGGAGTAAATGTTTACATAAAAATAAAGATATTGAATGAGTGTAAGTTCAATAATGAATTGTTTGAACGGAGGCTCGCATAATATTATTTTTTTCAACAATACCATTTCGATATACTCCAAATACGTCAAATAAACATAATTTGTATTACGCTTGCATATAGGATGGGAGTCCGACCATTGTCCGTTGTCCTTGCAGTGAATATAATCTGGTCCACCAACTAACTCAAATCCGTCGTAACAACCAAACCTACATGTTCCTCCATTCAAATGTTCAGTAACAGGGTTGCATTGGAAATAACCATTGTTTATACGTTTAGGTGAATCACATCGTACGACTAAAACGATGAATAACTGGTTAGTAAACTTCATGTGTCTTAATACATTGTAAATATTCTAATTGGACGATTTATACTTATTGCAAAATTTCTCTTGTCTTCTTATCTACAATTACACAATACCTCGATAAACACTTTCCCCAACTAGCAGACGACACGTTATTCTTATCAGTAGGTTTTCGAGTGAAGATAACCGGTTGTATATCTCGCTATATAAATCGTTTGTAAAATGGCGTGACATATGGTAGGTTTAACAGTTAATTTAAATACTTTGGTGTCAAAAGATATGTAAAATTATATTCTGTGACAACCCTAAGATCCAAAGCTTTCCATTGATGTAATAATTTCTAAAGTCGGACATTTAATCACAACAAACTAGCGGTTTAAAAATGGCTTAATTTGTATTGTTTTAGCGTATGAGATACCAATTTTACTCGAAGATAAGGGAAACAACTCGTATGATTTCACTCGATATACCTCTGTTATTTACGTAGTTCATATGAAAAGTGTTTATTGGTGTATTACACAAGAAAAAAAAAACTTTACAGAAAAAGCTTGATTTATCCTACTATCAGTAGTTAATATCATTATCCGGATATAAACATTAACATGGTGGTTATATAGGTTAAGCATATTGACATTGTATCACCAAGATACAACACAATGAACATATTGAAAAAATAAGAAAGTCGTCAAAAACAACACAACCAAAAAACCCAAACAAATATACATTTTTGATGGACATGCTTAGAAATTGTCTTTCTTATGTGGGGATTTTTGTTTTTCCATTCTACAGGCAAGTCATTTTAAAAAACATATGATGTATCAGCAGGCTAAGCACTGAAAGCTATCTATAAACTTAAAAGATACATGCAAACATTTACAGACCTTCAAATGGGACTTTTGATAAAGTAATAGTTCCAATCTTAAATAATGCTTAATCTAGTGTTTTACTACAGTAAAAAGGCTTATGCAGTGTTTAAGTATCGACAGAATATTAAATAATTTTATTTAGCAGAGATTTAAAGATTTTTTAAAGACTTGTTTTTTTTGCAAGATCACAAATGAATCTCAAGATGGGCAGCTTCTTAAAAGTTATTTTCAAAGGCTTCTTTTGACTTTTTTGCAAGATCACAAATGAAACTCAAGGTTGGCAGCTTCTTAAAAGTTATTTTCAGAGACTTCTTTTAAAAGATTCATGTGGTTAAATTTCGAATTGCATTTACAAGATTTCGATTGTCAGCACACAGAGTGGCCATAAAACAGTTTGATTGTACAAACCAAATAAAGTACCTAGAAATGAAAGAAAATGTTATGTATGTTTTAATAGGTATCATTTAAAACACTAAAGAATTATCAACTTTTGTATTTAAGGCTCTCAGATTTAGGAGCCAGATGGGTTTGTTTTATTTTTATTACTTTTTTCAGACCTAACTTTTCTCCCAACCATATCAGCATCGTCAATGTTTTGCATGTATGTATGTATTAACAAATGAAAAACATAACATTATTTGATTGTTTGAACAGCCAGTATTGGCTTATTAATTCATATATTATACAAGAGTATTGTACTGTATACATTCATGGGTTGTTGCGTTTAATAAACAATTTATCTGTATACAACTTGTTGGCGGTCATGTCCTACTGTAGCGCTGACTTAGATGGTTGTTAATGCGAGCAATGTGTGTGGTCCCTAATATTTAAGTTGTGATTGGTATCAACTTCTCATTTTAGCAGATCTATTCACATGTCACTCTTTTTTTCAGACTCAAAACTCAAGTTATCATTGTGGAAGCAGCATGCCTCCAGATTCATACTAATTTCAATAACAAACAAAGTAATTTTCACGTTGCATTTTAAATCCACGGACATTACCAAAATATGTAGGATATGCAAAAACAGCCAATACTACGTAAGTCTAACAGTCTTATTGCGTTAGTCACGCGATACGAAAATTGAAATAAACATTGCTAAATCAGCCGTGAAATACACATTACATGCATATATTACTTGAATCTTTAGTGTTTGTCTTTTAACGTTTCTTAAAATTAAGTTCATTTGTCTTTATTTAAGTGTTTTTTAATAGGATAGCTAATCTAAAGGCATTCAGTTTCAATACTTAATTTTTTGATCGCTAATTTACTTTGTTTATAGATAAAGTCAATGTGATTCATTACACAATATGAAGCTAAAGTGGCGACATACTTTAACAACAAAAATTAAAACAGATTTTAATATATACTGATATCTAGAACTTGATTTTTGTCTGAATAAATCAAACTCATAATAATGAAACAGCGTCAATGTCTAGCGCATGGGCATAAAAAAACAGTACCTTTCACAATGACAATGATATCACAATATGCAGAATTTCCACTTGTGTCTGTAGCTTTATATGTTACTGTTGTATCTCCCTCACGAAAGTGATGCCCAGGTGGATACCCACTTATTCGTCTCGGACTAGAAAGAAACGTATAAAATAATGATTCATAACCTCTGATTTTTTTTATATTCAATTTGTTTAGTTCCGCCCATTGTTTTCTCGTTTAGGACACACGCTTTTTGTTACATGAGGACCATAGTTTTCATAGAATGGCACGGAAGTGTCATATTAAAGGTTCCATGATAACCGCCGTTTGAAAACATCTGCGGATGTTTCTTAATTCAAAACTATGTCATTTTAATGTTTAAATTTGAATTCTACTTTAGCCGGTGCTAAGGGGGCATGGACGGTAGTTTGAACTTGACAGTGTCGTCAATGAAAGGCTCGATCAAACCGAGCCTTCAACGTTTTCAATTTTGTTGTTTTGAACTTTCTGAAGGGGTTCTTATTTTCTCTTTTTGAACGTGAATGTGTCTATAATTATTTTGAAAGCATTTAGCATTACACATAGTAACAAAACCACGAAAGAATTATACATCGAAGTTGTTGGGAAGTGTGGGATACATGATCCAAAATAACATATGGTCATTGTTTATCAATTAGAACTATTTCAACATTTTTCAAAATGATAATTTTCTGTTGTTTTGTATATATATATATATTTGAAATACTATTGGAGAATGTGCCAGTGTAGACCTATGCACCTGTTTAGATACGTCAGATTCTGCAAAACATTAATCATGTCAAAAGATACGACATAAACATGATTTAAGTGACCTTGGATTAGGTTTATGGAATAAAAGAGGCAGTTTCTAACAAATTTTCTTATAATGATCATTTAAGCCGCGCCATGATAAAACCATCAAAGTGTGTTTGCGACCAGCATGGATCCAGACAAGTCATCGCATGCACTTATAAAAACTATTGCAAGTATAGGAAACTGATTGCGTTAAGGTAATATGGCATTCTACCTTAGAAGACTCGGGATCTGAGTGTGTTTTCTCATATATATACAGTATATAACATCATTATTGACATATAATTGCGACACTTACGTGATTTTCCCATCTGTATCATCAAATGCCTCAGGCTCCGCCCACGTAGCTTTGGTATAGTAAGAAAACGGTTCCGCTGTGACAAATAATTTCGGAGGTACGCATGTAATAGTAGGGGGCGTTCTATCTATAACGGGGAAAACTGTATACATATGTATGAATGATCTAGTATTCCTTTCGTGCTTTCTACGTTCTTTACGATGTTTCTTTACACCGGTTGATATTATGTTATGCTATTTTATTAAGATTAGACATAAAGTTTGGTTATATAAAAAAGCAAGCATTAACCATAAGAAAATTGATAAAACATACAACAAAACTCTGCTTAAACTTTTTCACAAATATTTGGTGTTAACTATTGACTATTGGTATTGATAAAATACGAACAAAAAATGATTCATACCTGAAGGATGTCTGTCGCCAAATGCACAAGCTGTAAAGAGTGAAAGAACACATATGACTCCCTTTGCAATTCCTTCCAACACGTTACCAACAACTTTTCCTGCTTTTCGCCACCATCCCCTCTTTCGCCTTATGTGAGCTTTTTTTTCAATGACCTCTGTAAGAAAAAATAAAGCTTAAAATATTTATTAGATCTACTTTTTTTAGTATTCAAGCTATTCAAATAACAATTCACAGTTTCTAAATGTTACAAAGCGTCTCAAATTAAGCAATATATTTTTTAAGATGTTATGATCTGGTAACTGTTTATGATAAATATCTGTTTTAAAACGAAATATTACATGCTACAAAATGTTCTTAAAAAGGCATATTATTTCTTTAAAATCGAGCTTTTACTTTTTCGAAAGAGCGAATTTGGTTTTTATGACGTTTAAATAGCATGTTCAATGCTTATAATTATAGAATCTAGATGGGTGTTTTTGTCAAATACACATATGTCTCCCAAACATGGTATGGTACTGATCACTGAGTTTGATCCGTTAAACCCGGACAAGATTTTCCGATTTTCCGATTTAAATGGCGGCCATTTTGTGCAGTGAAGCATATATGCACAACTATGGATGGTACTTATCGATTCTGTAAAGTAATGTTGAAATCCCGACAGCAGTTTGACCTGTGCAAGCTGGACATTATTGTTCTATTTACAGCTCTTGCGGTCATTTTGTGCAGCAAAGCGGACGTACCAGCCATATGCACAACTAGGGATTGTACTTTTTGTTGTTGTTTTTTATTGAATAACCACCAGCATATTGTCCTTTGAAAACTGAACATGCTTTTTTTCTATTTATAGGTCTGGCAGCCTTTTTGTGCAGCGAAGCGGAACGTGTCCGAGATACGATATGCACAACTATGGATTGTACTGAATTATGTGAATTATTTATTGTAATCTCACCGGCAGATGTTCTTTTGAAAGTTGAACAAGCTTTTCTATTTATAGCTCTGGTGGTTATTATGTGCTGCAAAGCGAAACTTGCCTACGATATGCACAACTAGTGACGTTACTTATTACTCCTGTGAAATTTCATTGAAATTTCGCCAAAAGTTTGACCTGTGAAAGCCGGACAAGCTTAATGCGGACAGACAGACGGTCAGACAGACGGTGAAGGTAAATCTAACTGCCCAAAAGCAAAAGAAGCAAAGGTAAGGTGGTCAGCTAGATGACCAGTGAGAAAAAGTTTGAAACTCTAAGGGGACACCAAAGATTTTTAAAGCAAAAAACATGGAAAATAATAACATTTTATGAGCATTATAAGCTCTTAAGAAATATTACGTCTTTTCAGATCTATCTTTAGGATCTGCACGTTCTATTTTTATTGTAATAAATTTGAAATCTGGCCAATTATCAAAGTGATTAGTTAATTATTAAAGTATTACAATTACTTCTAAGTGTCAAATTCTATCACATGTCTTTCGACGTAATATCGTGCACGGCCGTGTAACCTGTCAGAAATCTCCTGTACTGAACATTTTACATCGATTAAGATTATGAAGAAAATCATCAAAAGCCGTGATCTTAGGACATATAAATGGAACAACTGTTCAATAAAAACAAACGTTTGGTATTGATTGTCCAACACGAATCTGCGTTACGAACGTTAGGTATTTAATAAAGATTAATTCTAAAGAAAGTATGAACCTTGCAGTATTATCCAGTGTGTATCTTGGCATTGAACGTTATAAACTCCTAGTGGTAGCTCAACTTTGCAAACAGAGCCTGCTTCGATCGTGCCGTTTTGAGCATTTTGAACCTTCTTGCCGTTATGTTCACATTCCAGTATATTTCCAGATAATTCGGAGAAATCACAGCACTGAACAAAAACAAAGTTCAATAATTGTAATTAAAAACATATGGTTACGTGATCATATATTTGAACGAAAATATAATTACAAAATTATATTTACCTTTATATATGCTTCACAGAAAAGAAAAACATACAGATGCGTTAACCGCATACTTGTAATGTATTTAATTTTCAACGAAATCAGAAAACACCAAGTACTGTAAACGTAGAAATTAACCATGCCCTAATTTTTGCGCTCATCACTAATGCGCTAGAGTTTTAAAACAGACTTTGGAAGCTTGATACGTCGTTATAATATTGGGCAATTGCACTTGTTACAGAACAAATTACACGAGTACTTTTTATCATTATATATATACTATTATGATACTTTTTATAAAGATATGAAAGTTAATAATTCGAAGGCATTTACTCCCTTACATTAAAAAAATTCAAACAAACCTCATTATCAAAACGCCAATACCGTTGTGGAAATATACATTTTGCAAGTTTGGATTACATCATAATTATAATATCATGAGTTATAAGAAAATCATCATTGGTTTTAAGCCTTTGCGCATTTACATGTTATAAGTATTTTACAGAGTTTATTTATTTTTATAGAGTTTATTTGTACCAAATACCACTTTAATAAAGAGTATTTTATTTATTAAACAACAGAGTTAATATATCTTTAAATGACTTTCGATTTTTATATTTGTTTAAAATTAAGTTTATTAGTTTCCTATTGTTATAGACCATGATGATTCAACTATTCGATGAAAAATATATGCCTAATACAGTAGAGCTCACTTTGTTGGATATACTGATGCTGAAATAATTACTTCTTTAACTAGAATTTGTCGAGGTTTTATACACGTTTTGTATCTATATACGTTGTGACAGCTTAACAGTTTCTTATCTTGTATATGAAAAAAGCAACTTAACAATGTCACGATGCATTAGAATAAACCAAAAAAATATTGTTCCTACTTTTATGTTGCAAAGGAACCACTGCATGGTTATAAATGATTTAAAATTGCAGTTTTTAATGCTTCCGAGGGATCAATTTGTTTCCAGATTTTTATACTTCACAACAGCAGGTGTCAAGTGCTGTGTGGCAGCTGTAAAAAGTTGCCCCGTACTTAACTTCAGTGTTGTTATATTTTTTTCTGGTCCTTCAGGATCATTGATTCCAGCACTTTTAAGTGTTGAGAATTGAGTACCGCTCAAGCCGGTGCTAAGGGCGTGAGGGATGTTGCACTTTATCATTATTTCTCATGTACAGACTCAATCAGACCTTTGACATATTGTAACAGTTCTAGAAAAAACTCCCCTTTTCTAATTAAGATAGTCTTTTCTGCCAATGGACCAATATCGTAATAAATCGGTCATTTCCGGAATGTTTATTTTTTCTCACAAAATTCGGTATTCAATAATGTTCAACCGTTAATAACCGGAATTTAGTACATAGCGATAAAGGATGAGTGATTGTAAATAATCTAATGCAGAAGATTTTTTTGGAAAAAATAACATTCCGGAAATAACCGATTTGCTACGATATTGGCCGATGTTAGAATATTTTTTTACCGGGAAAGCATTACAGTTAAAAGACTACCTTATTGTGCGATACAAACGTATACGCAATATCTTTGAGATAACCGCGTGATACATATATGATATTTATATTTGCAACGGAAATGCACACTATAATTATCAGATAAAATTGGGAAGTGTACGTCAATAAGTTATCTTGAAATATGCCTTAACGTATGGTACATCAAAGGTTTGCATAACTCAGTATATTTATAACTGTAAATACCAGCATCAAGTAAAAAGTTGAACAGATCTTGTTTGTGTAGCTAATATTATCTAATCTTAACATTACATCATCCCGTATGTTTATCTAAACGATGATTAGAACGTAGTTAAAGTTTATGTTCATAAAATGGTCAAATCATTTATCAATCAAACAAAGTATGTTGGCAAAGATGTTTGAATAAATTTTTTAAAAAATTGTTTATCTGATATAACATGGAGATGTTATTATTATTATTAATATTAATATTAATATTAATATTATCATTATTATTATTATTATTATTATTATTATTATTATTATGTTTGCATTTAAATCGTTGCTTATTTTGCTTATTTAACACTTTAAAACCTACAACATAAAATTACATAACAAAAGGAAAGTTAAAATCAACGCAAAGTAATAATTACAAATCAAATGTAGTTTGACATTTTCATTTATGGTTCCAGGATTAATTGATTCATAGAAAGTTGTCGAAAAGTAAATATTTGTCAAGGTGATTGGAAAAACGACATATTTTATATGAGTTTCTTTACTTTTTATTTCTGTTATTTTATTCAATTTAATTATCATTTTTATCATTTTTCTTCTGTTTATGGTAAAGGGTGTTTTGTACGTCCCTGCAACACGGTAGAGGTACATGAGCAATTGTGTCTATAATTGCCTTGTGCATCAGAGTTGTCTTGAAATTGTGAAACTGAAATCCTATATTCTTTTTTATTTTTCGATAGCAAACAATTGAATTTGAAATTCCATAGGGAAAGTTCATTATATTCATACCTTCAAACGGATGACAAGCGGAATGCATGTTCAACGTATCAGTTACACGTAAGTACATTAAAGATCATGTGAGTATATTTATCATATTTAAAATGTTCTATTTTCTCAAAAGCAGTTAAAAATTAAAAGGGCAAAAACTCTAACTCTAACTATAATCATTATCAGGAAAGCGCTAATAAATCGTCTTGCATGAACTCAATATTGTAAAAAAATTAGTTAGCAGTGGAAAGGGCTTCTGCTACAAATGTTGTTTTTGCCAAACAAATTGATAAAAATATATACGTGTAGTCTTGCTTGGCAAAAAGGTGTTATATTTTATAAGATGCGCAAAGTATATATTATCATCAAAAATTTACTTCTGATAAAATGATATCGTATGACTTTGCCGTAATACTGAATTTAATAGCTATCTTTCTTTTATTTCTTTCATAGTCATGCGAAACTTGTTACTTTTATTATATTTTTGATCAAAATAATGAGTCATCAAACGACGTGTTACTAAACCAGCATCCGGTTTACATTCGTCTTTAAAATCACAGTTATTGGACAAGCATAGCTTTTTACATTTGATTAATGTTTCAATAAACATAAGTTTCTTGCTATGAAGTATGAACAGTTTATTTAAAGCTTTCCAGAAAAAAAAGAAATATTGCACGTAGAGATTGGTGATCAATAATAATTGGCATAACTTGCCAACATAAAAGTTCATTAAATAAAAAGATATATTAAATAACACTTATATTTATGAACTAAGAGAAAATACGAGTAAAAATACAGACGGAAACAAATCACGTGTAGACTGCCAATAAATTATATTTAACTAAAAGAATTCCTGCTATGACTTTAAGCAGTTTGCCTCCAGTTTCATGCTAACTGCTATGCTGATTTTGAAAATGTATTTATTAGTGAAATATTATAAAGTGAACAAAGAAAGTAATTAACACATTGCAAACATTACAATCTACGTAAATGTCCAAAAAGAGGTCAAATTATGTAAAATAGAACTCTTACTACGTAAAAAAGTATCTGGTAACAAATTGATCCCTCGGAAGCATTAATCACAACAAAATTACAAGAGAATTGCAGACTCGCTTTGATTGAGTCTATACGTGAGGGATAATGAAAACGTGCAACATCCCTCACGCCCTTGGGCTTGAGCGGTATTCAATTCTCAACACTCAATAGTGCTGGCATCAATGATCCCGAAGGACCAGAAACATATAACAACACTGAAGTGAAGTAAGGGCCACCTTTTTACAGCTGCCATATTTTACCCTTGCCCGTCCTGCTCACAAGCTTCCCCTCAGCTAACTCTAATTTGCAGTAATTGTATAACCTAGTGTGAAAAATCAGTAAAATATGTGGACATCCGTGTCCTATGAACATATTTCTTGCTTTACATTTGAAAAAGTGGGTTCTAAATCACTAAATAAATTATTAAAATATATCACTACAATTTTACTTTTATGTTTTAACAGTTTCTTTTTTATTTCAATGTAACATTTGAAAATAAAATATATCCAACTTTGTTAAATACATGCATTCCTTTCCTGTAATATAGTTATCAAATTGTATCATGAGTTTATCTTTGGAGATAAGCTTTTTTTGCGGGGAACGATGATCGAACGATTACTTTATGTGTTTCTTTTTCTACCCAGTGATCGTACACTCGTACGTGCTTTAAGACATAACAATGATTCACCATTAAGCAGACATATGAGAATTCCTGTTTATTTCAAACATTTTTTGTTCATAAAATATGCATTTAAGAGGGCAAAGAAACAAGATATGATTAAAATATATAACACGTGAATTGCATACCAGGTAAACAGACCACGATAAACGATGCTTCTTTATCAACATATCTCCCATAAATTTGCAGCAACAAAAAACGCCTTTGATAGAACGTGTTTATGCCAAAAAGCAAACAAACTAGATATAAACAGCAATAAACTGTATGCAATTACACTTAGTGTATGCGCCCTTTCTTTTGAATGTCTCCCCTATTTTTGAAATGAGGGAAAAAATCCTCCCTATTATTGTAATGAGGGGGAAAATCCTCTCCTATGTTTTGAAATTCTAGTATAGACACTGCTGGTGCTCAATGTTTGTATCTGGATATTAAAATAAATTTAACTACTAATGAAAAGTGTCAAACTTAAAACAGGACAATTCTGTTAAATAGTTCAGAAGGGCAAAGTTAAACATCTGAGGATGTTTCTAAATTCAAAATTTTACCATTTTATGTTTAAATGTTGAATTCTGCTTAAGCCGGTGATAGGGAGCGTGAACGGTAGTTTGCACTTGGCAGTACCGTCCATGAACAGGCTCAATCAAACCGAGCCTGCAACATTTTTTTCAATTTTGCCGTTTTGGCCTTTATTAAGGGATTCATATTTTCTCAATTTGAACATTTCCATTAAATGTATTTTGAAGGCTTAGTTTTACATGTACAGTCTAAAAGGAAGGGTTAGATATAAAAACTTACACACATGCTTGATCATATGGCTGTTGATGATGAAGACTAATTATCGATTAGTTAATCTTCATTTTCTGTCCGACTCATATCTGACTTAAAGCTGCAATGAAATCTTTAATATTTTCAGTATTATTTTTTTTATTTTCATACTTTCCAGTGTTTTATTGTAATATGTCAGATGATTATATTTTCACAACATATTGCATCTGGTGTTCACTCAGTGAAACATATTTTATTCTTACATGCAAAACAAATCCAAATACATATCCACTATGTATTACATTATTCCGTTTCCTATGTAATTCACATGTTTGATATACGATACTGCAACTCACACTATTCATCAGTGTGAACTACACAGTTTTGAGAAGTCTTCAATTAAATGTTTATGTTAGTAAATTATACTGTTTCTTTGCTTTGATTTATTACAGTTGCATTTTATCGAGGAAATGTTCTTTACTGAATGTTTAATTTATTGTTTGACAGTAATTGTCGTGGTCGGAGATAACGACGTAAACGAGGTAAGAAAGTTTTTGACTGATTTTAATTTTTTGATATCTCTTCAACACTATTTTCTTAAAGTTGGAAAAAAATTCTTTTGATGTTGTCATTATTTATAAAAGATCCTTTATGCTATAATTAAGGTGTAACAACATTTAAGTAAAATTTTATATATGTATATAATTATTCTTCTAAAACAATTTCCAAACATTTAAAGAATATGTTAAATATGTACTGCAAAATTTATTCGCATTACAAGTAATCATTAAAATATATGCTTTCATTTCTTATTGAAAAATTTGGCTTAGACTTAATAAATTTCTAATTAACTCCTTTTATTTACATAAAATGTTAATTCCATAATATCTTTACAAATGATGCTTTTTGGAACTTACAATATTGAAAAATCTTTATTTTTGAGCATCACATTTATGATAAAAAAACATAAAAACTGAGTTACCAGCAAAATATGCAGACTTCTTCACAAGATTATAATCATGAGGTTTGAAAAATCGAATAATTCGCGCATGGTTATTAAATGTATCTTACTTATTACGGACATGCCTATTTTGTAAAAAAAAAAGATGATGACGAATACCATAATTGTTAAATTAAGGCGGTGTGAGTTGGAATGATTTATCTGTTTGTATGAAACCCACATACAGGTAGTCGACATTTTATAATTAAAAGAGTGTGCGATTATCCCATCTTCGTCACTGTTAAGATGTCAACATTATTGCAACTGTGAGAGTGCTACATTGTAACGCGCTTCTGCATTTATAATGATAAAATGTTTTCATATTACCATCATATATTCTGAATTGTTCATCTTTCTGCGAGTTTTTAAAATTCTGGGAATAAGCAATATTTTTTCTAGCATGTTTTCTCAATTTCACTCTATGAGCTACTTTTTTATATAAAAAGTTCATGGTAAAAAAAACTTACTTGACGTTGAAAATGAAAATCTTTGAAACTGAAAGAGGGCAGTTTATACATGCCATATACTAGTACATAACTTAGAATCGTAAATGTGTACCTGTATGATAAAGATTGTCGTCAACTTTGTTCTAAATAATATATCATATACATATGGTGGCTGATTTACGCCATGTAGTATTTTCGCTTCTTCGACTCAAAATGCGAAAATACGAAGAGACGATGAATTTATACTCTGTCGTCTCTTTGCGATTTCGCATTTTTGTATTTTGAACGCGAAAAAGCGAAAATACGACAGATAGAATGCGATTATACGACAGATTTTATGTGTCGTATTTTCGCCCTCCTGTCGTATTTTCGCTTGTCCAACCTTGTCGTCTCTTCGTGTTTTTGAATTCTGAGGCGGAGAAGAGAAAAAAACGACATGGCGTAAATCAGCCATCATAAATACAGTATTATTCCAGTATTACAATGATGGATTTGGCTGTTCCCCATTACATGCATTACAAACATTGTGCCGCTAATTACATTTAATTACATTTAATTACAATAATTTTTTAAACAGTATGCAGAAGAAGAAATTTCTCCCGATAGCTGTTACCTCGATCCTTTGATGAGTCTGTCAAACTGCCATGACCACACTGATAAAAAAGTGAAAATTGATGGAATGTATGAGATGGCCCATAACACAACATGTACCCTGGAACATAGGAATGAAGACATGTTCAGTGTTGCCTGCATTGACGGGGTGCTCTTCATTTCATCGAATGAATGTAATTGTTATACCCTTATGATATTTAAGAGAAAAAATCAAACTAAAAACCAAAACAAAACAAAATGCAACATCATTTCAATCAGTAATAATTAAACTTTTTTTCGATAACAATTGGACAATGATTTATAAAATAACATATATTACTTGTTAACTGTAAGAAAACATTTCAAAATTGAGAACTTTATATTTCATTCTAAATAAAGATTTAACGAGGAAAAAGCGTCAAGTATCGCCTTTTGAGGTAGCCAATTCTCCGTCTGTCAGTGGTATGGGTGGTTTTACAGCGTCTGGTGCTATGATTGGCTCAGCTTTTGGACCTATAGGTTTAGCTGTTGGCGCTGGTATAGGTGTAATTGTAGATGTCGTGTGTGCTATTGTCTGCCGTAAGTATTGCATCATGTCCAAAGAAAATATTATTATAATATGATATTAGTGTATCATTTCATCTGTAAGTTTCTCACAATTGGTATGCAAGAGCTTTAACACTGTCTAATATTCTAAACTTGTATGAAACGGGCAAATCACCTTTAATGCCCTTTGACACCGGCTTTAGCTGAATTCAACATTAATTTTTAACAACACTCTCATATACAATTGCTTTTGTCGATTTTGATTTTGATTTTGGAGGACAATGTAATAATATATGTATTTAGTGAAGTAATTGGTCAGTCAATAATAAGTTATGGCTCAATAGTTTATGATACTTATTTTTATTCGGTATGTAATGTTGTGACTTATATGTTTAGGGGATTTCAAGCACTATTTATAGGTAGTCACGTGTTGGCAATTTTCTCTCATACATTGAACCTAAATTTTGCTCAATTCTTGTTTGTTTAATTCCTGTTTAAGAATTGGAGTATTAGTTTGAAGAAAAGAAGGGTGCCAACAGGTGGTTACACTGTAAAAGTTGTTTGTTAAGCCAGTTTTGATAGTGTCTTCCTTGCCCTAAATGCAAGCTACAATTTCAAAATTCTTATTAAAAGATAGATAATGTATGTTTAACGTTGTTATTTATGTGTATTTATCTTATTTTTCGTTCCGTTACAAATAAAGGTCACGACAATCCACCTCTTTCCAACAAGCCACCGACAATAACGAAGCCTGCTGTATTACCGAAAGCAATATTAGCAAAGGAAGGGGAAACAACAGCAAGGGTCAAATGGTATCCGCCAACGATAACGGACCCTGAAGATGGAGATATCAAGTAATTATAAAGCAATCAAAACTAGTACTACTTTTATGCTCTGCAAAAATGGTATTGTTTGATAGTGCATCTGTTTTATCTGACACACACATATCATTTAAGCGCACAAAACGTTAAGATTTCACTATAAACTTAATCATATTTCCTGTTTTGGTGCCATATGACCTAACCGTAAACTAAAACACAATAAAGTTAATATTACTTAATTGAGGCCATTCCATAATGCAGTATTGAACCTACACTTTGTTCAATATCCTCTGTTTTGCTGAATGAAAACTTTGTGCAAGGGGTTATTTAAACTTTACATGAAAATTAAAGTATATAAGCGAAAAACCAAATGTTATGAGTAATCTGTTCTTCATCTTGATCTTTTTTTTGTTTTTGTTATGCCACGTAATTTCAAGGGAAGATTACTTATGAATATGTCTTACAAACAAAGAAATATATATAGTGTCTAAACTTTTGTTTTAAATTACAGAGCAGTTGCCTATCCGCCAAACTTTATAAACGGCGGACAATATTCAGAAGGAAATTACGTGGTGTATTTCGTTGGTACAGATAGCGGGGGTCTGTCTGCAACTACATCCCTTTCCTTTCAAGTCAAATGTAAGAATCTTTAAATGTCTTTACGAATATTTAGAAGAACCACTGCAAAAACAAATATACTTTTTACGAAATATTTATATTAAGTCATTTAATGTCTTCGTTAATTACTAGTAAAAGGGAAGATGTATTAAAGTATTTTTGATTGATCTATATTATAAAACCAGATTTGCGTTGTCACTTCGTCACCATGTATGATGTTTAGCACAAAAGCTTTACTTTATTGGTCTGAAAGGGAAAAATCAATATCTAAGGCGGCGATACTTTCATGGTGAGCACAAGAATCAATTAATGTTTTAATTGATCCAAAGAAATGCATGGTTTCATTAAGAACATGTTTCTTTCTAACAGTGCACAGATGTGGATTCCCCAGATGGCCTGAAAATGGCTACATTGACTGTGGTGGTAGTGATATTATCTATGGGACTATATGTAAAATAAGATGTAAATCCGGCTTTACCATAAGTGAAGGAAACAAACCTTCTCTAAAATGTGTCAAAAACGGTGCCTGGATGCCGCCATATCCTTCGAACTGCAAACGTATGCTAATAGAAAATATATTTAATTCAGTTAATATAATAAAATAGATGTCTTTTTATTTGAATCAGGCATATTCGGTTATAGATGTAAAAACAAAACATGCATTGATAATTTTAAATACAAGAATATGTATATGTATTTTGCTTATAATTTTACATATCTGTATGTTTGAACACCTGTAAAAGAATGCAGTTAGAGATATCTTCATCCAACATGTTCCTCTTCTTTGAAATGATTAATTTCTTGTAACTAGAACGCTTAGAAAATTGTGATGTTGTTACGATCAAGTGACATTATGTAGAAGAGAACGTAAAATTAAAAATGATTTTTATCTTTGCTTTTAATTTCATTATAAATGTCACCCGAATAGTAAGTAATCATAGTGACCCACATAAATTTATATACATGTACATATCCTTCAGAAATTATCGGTCATATTCAATTCATTAAAAAATTGGGGCAGTTTTTTACACATAAGATATTTATGTTTTATTTATATTTTATCCTAAACATTTGCCGGTACCAAGAAATGTGTTTTAATATAAGAATTGCTATTGTAATTGTCGGTCTTTTGAGGTTAAACAACTTCTTTATCTCCACTCGACAGTGACGAAAAAGTGCATAATGTCACTCTAAATAAACAGTTGAATGGAATGGTCTTAAATTGAATTGTAACTGCGTTGAAGCCGTTCTAGAACATGTTTAAAACTCTTGAATTTTATAACTTGTATATTTGCAACTTGGAATTTGGTAATCACTTTTTTGACATTAAAAAGCAAAATCGTGTGCGACGATTACAACACTATCACATGGTCATGTATTGTTATATTATTTTAATCACTTAGTTACCATTAACAGCACGAGTGTGTGCCAAAGTACCAACAATATCACACGGTGAGGTACAATGTCGTAACGGTAAACAAGTTGGAAATATATGTGAAGTTGTTTGTGACTATGGATATCAAGTTCATGGTATGCGCATTGTGGGCTGTGACAACGATGGAACGTGGGGAATAATGCCTGTTTGTTATGGTAAATTTTTGTTTCTATTTATTTTGTTTGACTTGACATACGTATATACAACATACATACATGCTATAACTCATTATGCCATTAATTTGTGAAGAAGAAAAAACAACAAAGAAATCCTGTCATTTTTTTAAATAACGAAATGGTATGCCTACAATTCTAACGTTTCAATTTGCACAATTTAGATGTCCTTCCGCCGAGATTTCTGGCGGGCGACTGTCCAGACGACATACAGGTATATATTGACTCGGCAAATAACACTGCAAAGGTAACTTGGAATGAGCCTCGAGGTGACGATAACTCTAGGGAGCCTGTAACAATTACGGAAGTTCATGGCCACAAGCCAGAAGTTCGACTGACTGCTGGTTTACATTCTATCAAATATACAATAACAGACAAGGCGCAAAACAGGGGTGACAACTGCGTGTTTAATATACAAGTTGTGAGTGAGTAATAACACAAAATATATCTGCGTATTAATGTTTTTTATTTAATTTTGTGTTAATGTACTAATTTGACTATGGGTTTGGAACTCTGTATTGTTGGTCTAAGGCTTTCAAATATCATATTAATAAAAATATTATCTCCTCTTTTTTGTTGGGGAACAGTATTTTACCTGTAGGAGTAAACAGTTAGTTGTTTTCCCCTTTTACTGAGGGAGGGGAGCTTTCGTGCATATTTGTTGCACATACCCTTATAGTTACAAATCTAATGTTGTAAATAATGTGACTGTTTTTTCAAGAAGCAAATTTCAAAATATTGCTTAAGGTCATCTGCATTTGGTAGAAAAAGGTAGGCATTTTTTAACAATGGGAGAGGTTATTTAATGGGGGCTTGTGAATTGAGGGTCGTTCAGACCCATACTGGTAGTGTTGAAAGGTATATTTTGCCATTTACCCTCAAAATGTTCAATCTTTACCCTTATAACAAGATTGATCTCTTATAAAAAATAAACTGAAAAATACTACTTATAAATGAAATCAATAAATGAAATCAAATACGGTAAGTGTATAAACATGTTTTGTTTAACAGTTTTACTGAAATAATTAAAACAATCAACTCGACAACTTCTTGACATAATTGCATTAAACTAAAGAAATGTTGAAAGTTATATGAAAAAGTATAGTTTTAGTTATCATGATATTTCTTTTATTTTCGCTGAAACTTGTTGAACTTGGTGAAAGTTGTTGTTGGTGTCGTTATATTTAGCATTAAGTTGTTCTCCTCCTAACCTTCGTGTGGCTGGTGGGGATCATCTGAAATATGATTGTCCTAGCTACAACCTTGGTGCCGAATGTTCAATGTCATGTATGTCGGGGTATCCTATGGGAGGAGAAACTAAAATACAATGTTCAGCTGACTACAAAAGTCGCCCTCCAAAATTAGACTGGAAATGGCAGGAAGATGGACTAGAACCATTTTGTAAAGGTAAACATGCTTTACAATCGCAACTTTCCGGTTTTTTGCAATATTTCGTAAGAGTACCTTAAACATAATTGGATTATTATTGACAGTATCAATTAACAGCATAAACATATTGGAGTATTTAAATTAAGATATACTTTAATATTTACAGAATACAAAACAGTTCAGTAATCTTCATCATTTATTATATGTTGTTCGTCAGTTTTCTCTTCATGTTCAAAATAACTCGGAAGCATGTACTACATAATTTTACTACAAATAATGTCCATGGTAATATCACTGGATGGAACGATAAATAATTAACAATTTTATAGCAACGTAAAATGTCAAATATGTAATAACAATATAGTTCTTCCATTGTTCAAAGTTCATCTTGAACATAGTACAATATCATATCATGCTGTTTAAAGAATGTATCTTTGAAACTTTAGAAACAAACTGTTCCAGAGACGCACTAAATGAACCTGTTAATGGCGCCTTGGCATGCAGTCAGTGGACTCATGGTCAAATGTGTCAGATGCAATGTGGCGCCGGATATGATATTCCAAATATTGGTGATGGTTTATTTGTGTGTGGTCGATCAACTGGTAAATGGAGGCCCTCCGCTGAAGTGCCAGACTGTGATAGTAAGTAAATATGTATATGTAAGTGTTCATCCAGGCTGTTCTACAGAAATTAAAAACATTACGATAGCGACAGGAGAATGTTTCTAATTTCTGTAGAACAGCTACGAATGAATACTAACATTCTTAGTGTCAAGCTTTATTTGTCCTTTATTACATCACGACCTTTTTACGAACACGGTACTATGGAGTATTATGTAAAGTAGAAGGGAACTATGAACGGAGTTTGATATAGTATCAAATGTTGTTCTTTATGATAAGTAACACTCGGAATTTTTAAGAAATACAGGGTTTCCATTGAATATCAAATAAAGCTGGACACTAAGTTCATTTATAGCATAGCGAAAACAATTGTAGAAATCAATTACGTCATTTGAACAATAAACTCACTTATGACATGTTACTTTATATTTTCCAGCTAAGCTTGACGTAAACAACATGAATCTTCCAAACGAATTTTACTACTATACCGGAAATTGTAATAGTTCAACTGAAAATTTATATCAAATTAAAGAAAATTTTGTACAAGCCCTAAACACTTCTAATTTCTGGGAATACTGCGTTGATATCTCAGCATGCCAAGCGAGGTTTGTGGACGTAACCTGTGGTCCAGTATCATCTCGACGCAAACGTGATATTAACTTCCGGGGGTATCGGCGTTCGGTACCGAAGTTTGCCTACAGACTGCGCTTTGAATTTATTTTACCTTATAAATTGGAGACAGGAAAATCTGCTGATGACATATTTGCAGAAAACGAAGACCGGCTATACAAAATGTCTGACGTTATACAAAAAGAAGTAGATTCTGGACATTTCGACCTTCACGTTGATGACCTTTACATAGAGAGAGATTCATATGGTCCTGGAGTTCCTTCAATGATTTGTCCTTCTGGTACTTTTCCAAGGAAAGAGTCTGCATCATGTGGTAAAAATTTAAGTTTCGTCTTAAAGGGGAAATTAAATAATTTTTCATCATAATTTCTGTATTATGGCAAACATGACTTTTACATAAAGGCAAGTAAATGAATTGCTTTCATGATAATTTTGTGTTCAGCTGCTTTTTTTAAAATCTAGATTAATTCTTGTCTATTTAAGTTGGTTGCCCTAAAGGCAGTTTTGCAAAGACGAACGGTAGATGTGTAAAATGTCCCCTAGGAACATACCAAAACTTAACGAACTCTTTGAAATGTGAAGCATGCCCGACAAACACAAATACAACAGAGATTGGTGCCGAAGACATCTCCCAGTGTCTGAGTATGTATAATTATATTCATTCCTTTGTTAAGATAGCCGAGCCCCATGTTCTTACACTTAAAAAAGATCAATATAAAATCAAAATTTAAATTAAGCCATATTTTATAAACGCTTAATGTTAAAGACGATAGACTTTGAATGACAGAAAACGGTGAATTTTCAGGAATTTATTGTGAGGACACTTAAAGCAAATATTTGCTACTTACTTGATTTTTACGATAAGTCATTTTATACAAATAAGTATATTTGTTTGTTTTTTTTATTTAAAGAAATGTCTTCCAAACCTACACGGTCGTAATTTTAAAACTTAAAACAAAATATATTATAGCCTTTTTTTTCCTCCTAAAGTATCAAAACATGTATACAACCCCAATCGATAAACGGTCTTTCCTTATACACTTTTAACAGATATAATTCCTTATGTGCACAGGATTTATTAATACAAATAATTATATTTCACAATTTTTCCCTTCAGATATAGTTTGTTGTCCATTTATTTTTTTTAAAAAATCACATTGTATTTGACTTTATATACGTAAATTGGGATTTGTAATTTAAATTTAAGGTTTTCAATTTGGAACATGTAACAGTTATAAAATGAGACTTGCTTCCGAGCACGCTGTTGTGCGCCATACAGGTTGTTTCTAACTGATGTCAAGAAATAAAATAAAAATGCAATATTGTAATTCTGACTTGTAAAATACGAGTATCACGTTTAAATTGAAGCCTCGTTCTGGAATGCATTTTAACCTCCTGCAAGGCAAAGTCACTGTCATTACATTTTAAATTGTTTTTGGTCAATAACTAGAGTTAATGAAGTGATGCTATACTACAAAAAATAGTAAGGTCAGGTCAAGGTCAATGTTACTGACAAAAGAGAAATTGTTTCCAGTCAATAATTAAAGTAGGAAATAGTATTATCAAACTGGACACCTTGCTCCGAATTGCTTTTGCATCCCATAAGTTAAGTTCAGGGTCACTATTACTCAGAATAGATAAGAGATTTCCTGCTAACAATAATCAAAATTAGTGTCTAACAAGCCTATGTAAAGATCTCACTTGGTTTCCGGTCGATAACTAGGGTTTAAATAAGATTTTATTATCAAAAATGGTTTCTAGCAAGCTCATTAAGAGGCCTCACTTTGGATTGTTTTGAATTCCAGGGGTCATGGTCTATGTCACTGTAAACGATGCAAATGGAAATGTATACAGTTGACAAGTAGAGTAAGGAATGTGTAATTGGATTACTGCAAAACAGCAAAGTGTTTGAATTTTGATATTGTTATAGTTGTGATATTTCTGGATATATTTAATTCATACTTAGAAAAAACAAAAACTGATAACAAATATATAAGCATACACATTTTAATTTATAAATGTTATCAAGTACTTTGTCACAATACATACATATCTATTAATAATTGTTAATATATGTAGTAAAATGAGCAAATAAGGCACACATAATGCGCCAATAGTGTAAATTATCATATTTAAGATTCTTATGGCTCTAAAAGTAAGCTATTGTACTTTTAAAAAAGTCTTGTGTAGAAATCCAAAACATACAATTTGATAGAAATACATATTTTACAAGGCAAGTGCATTAAATTTCAAATAATTATTTTTATGCTTGGAATATCACACCAGGATCATGATTCAGAAAAATATTGCTATCCATCTTTCTAAATGCAGTTATTTCAATACATTGCATTCTTTCTTGAAATTTCAGGATACTGTGTGGCTGGCGAGTTTTCACCAAATACGCTTGCACCTTGTACAAAATGCCCGTGCAATTCATTTCAAACTTACCCGAAGTCTGTTAGCTGCACAAGATGTGCTAGTAATAAAAGAAGTCCGTCAGATGGAGCTACATCTGTAACACAATGTCAAGGTAAGATTTGTGCTAGCTATGTTCAGAACACGAATATAGTATTAAACATTTGTTGTTCGTACAATTATAGACCTAGCTTAAGAATGTATTTGATGAGAAAACAATTGTTCTCAAATATTTTTCTATTTTCATAATCAGTATAATAGTAATGTTAATAATAAAGAACACGATTATCTAGATAATCACAAATTAACATTTTGTTTTGCAGCATATGATGTACAGTTGAGTGATGACAAAATAGAAATTGAAAACAAATTAAAACACGACATTATTACCATGTTTATGTGGGTGTATGTCACCAATAACGAGACGAATTCTGCTGTTGAGTTCGAAAATTCTGACAGTAGGCAAAGCTTTGGGTTTAGGATAACACCTACAGTTTCGATTGGACAATCGCAGTGAGTGTTAAGCTTGCATTCATCGTTGGGTGTTCTAGAATCAACCGTGTCCTTTACTTGTACTTTGAGATTTCCATGAAAGGCATTATAGGATTCTTTTGTAACATAAATCTAGCAAAATGTATGTCAGCATTGAACAAGTATTTTTTTTGTTTTAGCGTTATGTCACACATACACTTTTAAACACTAAGTAATATGACAGCTTTTCAGCTTTCATGGTACAATGTGCATTATTCCAGGCACTAGCGGGTCCCTCAGGAGAATGATTATCTTCCGTAAGCTAAAGTGATAGTCTTCGTACATCCAAAGTTCTTATCTTAGCTTGGTTGGAACACGCAGCTTAATAGTGTATGAAAGTTTTACTGTCAGGCAAATAAAAACGAGAGTGTTAACAACGACCGAGCTATTATTCAATCTTAAATGTTGGAATAAAACCATATTTGTGCCTCATCTGTGCAATTTTATTGTAGAACCATCAACCTTAAACTAGCTTGATAGATAGCTTCTTTTCGGCTGGATTCGAGTCCACAGCTGTATAGTGTATAAAAGTTTTGTTTCAAAACGATAATTAGGGTGTCCAATCATGTTCAATGGTCACCAGATGTTAGTATTGTTAAAGTAACTTTGAACACATTTATGTTATCACAGGAATAAACTTTGAGTCTAACTTATGACAAATGAAAGCAAAAAATGTGATTATAAATGGGAAAAAGCTTCAATGACTTTTGCACAGTTACTTTCGTATGAATATATATATTAGCTTTTTCATTTTTATGCTACATTCCCATTTTTAAAAGGGACACTAATTTGTGACTTCATTCTCGTTATAAAGAAAAGCAAACACAACAATATGAGTAAAATGTTAGGAAAAATATTAATTTAGATAAATATGATCATGTAATTATAAGTTGTTTCTATAGTCACTTGTTTCCCACAATTAAAAAAACAATAAGCAAACAAAAACAAAACACGAGATCAAGCAATACAGAACTGTTGCATTGTTATATAAGGCATTTCTTACTTAGTGTGAATTCATTGGCTTACTTTGAGTTTTTTTTTATATTTCTCTAGTGATATTGTCAGTACTGGCAATACGTTACAGACATCCATCTGGACAAGCATTGCTTTGATTGTTGATAAACCGTCTAGTGAGGTCAAAGTGTACGTGAATGGGAAAGTTTCCTATGCAAATTCTTCCTTCCTTGTATTGAAATCTCACACTCTTGATAGGAACGATTTGATCAGATTCTATGGTGGTAAGCAAATATTCTTTTTTCTTCTTTTTTTATATTTAATTTTTATTTCATAATGTGTGCAAAATATGAGTGTGTGTTCTTTTCTTTTATTGTGGATAAGAATTAATATAATTACTGTGTGACATGAAAAAATGCTGTGTACTTCAATATATTTTTTTCAAAATCATATTTAAGACAAAAATACTGTCCTTCGATTTTAAAATTTGAAACGGGCTGACTGAGATAAAAAAATATCAAATATGCAGATGATCGAATTTTAGTACATTATATCATTTTCAGAAATCAAGATTTCTGCATTTTGGATCATACCAAGGAAAGCAACTCCTTCTGATATTTCTTCCTGGTCGACTTCATGCTTACCTCCCATAACTGGAACTATATATTCAATGGATAATCTAGCCGCATCAGAAAATGTCAAAGTTGTGATTCCCTCCGTTTGCGATGGTTAGTTCTATTTAAAGCCATTAGAAACAACAATAATATATACATATATTTGAGCATTATGAATGGTGCATTCATACAAACATGTCAGAGAAGTATACATGATCACATGCATGCAAGTATGTTACATTTACAATGTTATGTATTGTACTTTTGCCATGTTCTGCGAGCGTTTCAAAATTAATGTGAAACTTCTTGACAAATGACAATTGCATCATTTAAAGTATTTCTTTCCCAAATGTCTGTATTTAGGGTAAACTGGTAACAAATGATATCATAAACTTGCATAGTGCAATTATTATCTTTAAACTCGATCACTTTAACTTGATTTATCTATATTTTTTGGTTAAGATATATTGTAGCGAAATGGTTACTTGAATGTTGAACGTCAAACCGAGTCTGCAATGTTCATGTAATTTTGTTGTGATTAATGCTTCCGAAGCAAGATTTTTACACTTCACAGCAAGAGGTGTCAACAGCCCTGTGGCAGCTGTGAAAAAATGGCCATGTATTTCACGTCGGTGCTGTAACATTTTTCATGGCCTTCGGGATCCATGATTCCGGCAGTTTTAAGTGTTTAAAATTGAGTACCGCTCAAGCCGTGGCTAGGGGGCTTGAGGTATATTGCACATTTTCATTAACGCTCATGATAAAACCCAATAAAACCGAGTCTTTAATTTTTATGTAATTGATGTCTAATTATGACATTATGCTCATTTTTAGCTATCATGTCAAGCTGAATTATATATATTTTTTTTTTTAAAAATGACTTTTATAAAAGAAAACCCAATAAATTTCGAACGATATTTGCAGAAAGTCCGTTGGTCACATGTATTATTGATTCATTTTGCATAGAAAATTATTAAACAGATAACAATTTGCGGCAAAATGTAAAATGAGCGCTCATTGTTTACACTTGGATGGAAATAATATCACTTTATTAACAGTAAAGAAGTATGTGATGTAAATATGGATAAAAAATAAGAACAAAAAATATCTTCAAACCAGAATTTGCCTGCATTAAAAGATATCGTAAAGGTCTAAACGATATTCTTACTTTATTAGTTTATTTCTGTTTTAGCTATCGATGAGTGTGAAAACTCTCCATGCAACAGCCATCAATGTATCAATGAACGTGGCGGCTATAAATGTATATGCTCTAGTGGTTTTAGTGGAGAACAATGCCAATTGCTCCCGGATTATTGCACGGATAATAACTGTAAGAACGGAGCAACGTGTGTAAATGGAACAGGAAACTACACCTGTAAATGTCCCTATGGTTACCGAGGTGATTTGTGTGAAATTAAAGCAGGTATAGTATTTTGTTTAAAACATAAAACAAAGATGTCCCTTCTGAAAGTTAAAAATGATAATATAATGAACCTTTATCAAGTAATAAAGTCCCCCTCCACTCCCTATATCTTGTGAATATGACTGCAATAAAGCTGCAACAGTATAATAGCATCCAGTCTTTGGTCAAACATGTATTATTGTTAATACATACTTCAACTTTTCATTTAAATATTAATAATAAATTATGTGATATCAATTTCAAACCTATTTAAAGTTCAGTCACATCATTATAATTTCATAAAAAGTTTCAAAACAGTCGAAATTAGAAAGATTACATTGTTCATACAAAAGAATCCATGTATAGCATACGTTCTACTTACACATTCTCATTGCTTTGTAATAATTTAAATGTACATATATGGTATCGCAAAGCCATGTGACAGAGATAAAATGTATATATTTAATTTCAATAAGTTGATGGCGGATGGTCAGCGTGGACAAACTGGACGACCTGCTCAAAATTATGTGACCGTGGTACAGCAAAAAGAACAAGAAGATGTGATAGTCCTTCCCCAGATACCGATGGTAAACAGTGTCAGGGAAATAGTAGCGAGGAGACTTCGTGTAACGAAGAAAAGTGTCCAGGTCGGTTTGAGATTGTTCATGTATTCCATAACATGATACACATTCCTCCACAAAATACATTTTTGCAGAATTAATGATTATTTTGTATGATATATTGTTGTTATATATCTGTATATACGACATACACTCAGGGCACTAATAACCCAATACTTACATTTTACTGCATTTTCAGTAATTAGGTTATTTGTTGACGGATTTGTTCAAATTTGGACCATACAAAACTCAACATATCATAATTACTACTTAGAATTATTTTAACAATTCATCGATAAGAAAATATAGAAAATAACAAAATAAATATGCTTTTGCAAAATGAAGAATCACAGAATGGCTGTAAATATCGTAACAAAATGAAAAGTCTCTAAATCCCACTATATATATGTATGTTAACCAGTTCTTCTACCTTGTGTGTCCTCCCATGGTTAAAACAGCGTGCAAACAGCTGTCTCATGGAAATGACGTAGTTTCTTATGAAGGCTTTGGGAATATAAAAAAGGGCAGGCTCGAGTTCAAGTAACTCCTGCCTCCCAAGTCACAAGATCTAAACATCGGATGAATGAACAGGCATGTGAGAAAGCGACTAGAAACCCCTCGCAATTTGCTGGAACTCCGGCAAGCGGGAATGGAGAACTATGAGACACAGGTGTTTGCGTTGTTATAGCCAATTGGGAGGACATACAAACTATTAGAACTGTCTAACATACAGATGTGGTGGGATCCAGAGACTTTTCTTTTTTTACGATATTTACAGCCATTCACTGATTTTTCTTTTTGAAGAAGCATATTTGTTTTGTTATTTTTTCTCTATTTTTTATCAATTATTTGTAAATATATGTTAAAGTTGCAAGAATGATATTTTGTAAATGTACATTTTACACTTCATTTATGAATATGCGATGCATCACGTTATTTCACGACATGATTTATACATTTCACATTTTCAATTCAATAAAATCAATGATTGATATTCGTTCTATATCAAAGGTCATGCTGTTAAATAATGATTCTATATCTATTTTTTGGACAGAATGCTCCAAATTACGAAGGACTTATGGTCTAATCATTACATGCAACAAAACATCGGAGCGTCAACGTTGTTTTATTAACTGCAGAGCAGGTTTATATTTCACAAATGCGCCTTTATCTTATTATGAATGTGGTCTTGCTACTGGATATAAATGGAATCATCAAAATGAGAAAAATCCTTCAGGAAGGCTGCCATCATGTTCAGGTAGATCTAAAGATACAAATGTGAGTGTGACTAAAATAAGGATTGGAGCACCACACTAAATACCGTATTCCGGTATATACCGGACAAGACGCTTGAATGATAAAATGCTAAAATTTTGCCTTTTCACCCAACGGAATGAACTTTAAAATGTTTAATTTATCTTTTCACACCGATTTATGTATGATAATGCATGAAAAATGTATAAACCGGCGAAAAAAACGATATTGCCTATTTTGTGATCATGATTTTTGCAAGCGTCTAAAGGTACTGCTCCAATCCTGTATTGAGTTAAATCCCAAATGTAATAACATACTTAAATGACAACGTGCCCAACGGCAGTTTCAACTATAATTAGTTTCTAAAAATCCCTTACCAGTACCCTTACCTGATCTTAGAGAGCACAAATAGCAACTGTCATTTGATCACTTTCACCTCCAACATTTTGACCATGAAAGGCTACCAGTACGGTTCCCAGTGAACAATGTTAATAAGTTCATTAGTACTATAATTATCTAATTTGGTAATTGTTAGAACATGTATTTACTTTTCAAAGCGTTCAGAGCATTATTCATTTAATTCGTGTTCATTTAACTAATATTATTATCATAATTGAGAATTGCTTTTAAACAATTTGCAATGTTTGTTTTAATTCCTACAGAGCTTGAGCCACCAGTAGTGATGGGTGTGAAATTTGAAGGCAATTACGACTCTATTCCATGCACAGATAGTAACAAGCAAATAGTTCAAGACTCTATTGATATCAAATTGTCAACACTTGGCTGTAAAAAGACAAGCACGTGCGAAACATCGATACCAGAACCGGTTTGTATTAACTCTGGAAAGAAGAGATCTACTGGAAGTTCAATGAAGGTGACTGTTAGACTTCAAGCAGCTGTCAACAGTAAAGGAAATACTTTCAATATTGTAGGGCTACTACAAAATAATTCAGGTTCGTGACCTTGATTTTTATCCTGACCCATTGCGTATTTGTGAATGTTGAGTCAGAAATATGAAAATCTCAATACGTCACTTGTAAAACATGTTTCGTCTAAATCTACTTGTAATAGAAAATAAGTTTCATTCCATGTAATGTATTACTTTTCATGCATAAATGTTAATATATGAAACAATTTTGAAAAAAAAGAAACACATGGTAAAAATGAATTATGTTGTTTACACTATGTAAATGCTTTTCTCTATCTAGAACAGTGTACGTTATTGGTATTGCTTATGTACTATTGGCCAGAGGTCTTCGTATGCACAATAAAATTATGTTATTGTTGTTAGATTTCCTTCTAGAGATGCATTAATTTAACATTTCTGAATGAAAAAGAAGTCTCAATACATTAAGACATGAGTTTAAGTGAAAAGAAAACCCTCAATGAACTTCTTCTGCAATAGTACATGTATGTGCTAATATCATAATCAACGTTCCTGATAATAGTACTGGAGGCCAGTATATTTTTTTCAAAATGACTATCCCCTAAAACTATAAAATACTAGCAATATTTTGGGGACTTTATACGTGTAAAACAGGCTCTTTTTACAAACATTTTTCTAGCACCGTCAAAGCAGTTGAGGGATTTTGTTAACCAGACGTTAGAGTTGGAGAGGTCCGCACAAACGTTAATGAACCGTTCCGTCGACTTCTTTCAAGTGACCGTAGCTGATGGAACAAAACATTCCCTTTCATCTAGTTCCGACAGGCTAACATACAAACCCGATATTCGTTGTCCTAGTGGAATGGTTCGCATTGAAGTATTTTGTGGTGAGTGAATTATTTCTATATTTACGAGTGTTATTGAGATAAGAATTGAAGTAAAAATGGTGCAAATATTAAAATCATACAAGTTTACGAGTTTTTATCTACAAGAAAGTAATTGTATCTAAAAGAAAGTAATTAACTGCAAATTAGCTCTTACTCGACATGAATCATTGTAGCCGCTTTTTCATGAAGAGACAAGTGCTGATAGAGATAACTGTGTTTGGCAGATGAGGTCAGGTGCTTCTAAAAAGACTGATAACACTGTAACAATGTGACGATACATTCAAATTTATAACATAAATAATACACGTGGATCCCACAGAGACAAACGATTGCACATTAACTTTTTGATATCCTTTAAGAAAAATGCTGACAGTTTATAGAAAAAGTAAGCAAACCATTATTTTGTTTTATATGACAGGAATGAACTGCATTAACACTATATATTGTTTTTGATGTTTTTCCTCGAAAGCTCATTGTTTTACATGCCAGTTTTGGCTTTATGCCAGATTAAGTAATTTGACCCCATCCACTTGAAGATCTAAAGGACCGTGTCTGTACATGACTGCTGGCGAAACAAAAATAACAAAATAATGTTTTGCTCCTTTTTTTCTAGAAAATATAAACAGTCAGCAATTAATAATTGACATTTTTCTTAGAGTTAAAAGGATATCAAAAAGTTACTGTGTACTCATGTATCTCTGCGAGCTGAGCAGCTCCACGTGTATTATCTATGTAATAAATTTGAATGTATCCTCACATTGCTACAGTGTTATCAGCCTTTTTAGAAACACCTGACCTGGCTAATTAAAATATGTCAATCACAATTTTCATTATCAGCACTGGTTTCTCCATGAAAAAAGTGGCTACACTAATTATTGCCGAGTAAGAGCCGATTTGCAGTTATATTGGTAAAGAGTTTGGTCCCTACGGTCGTCTTAATACAAACTCTTACCCATACTTATCTGAAGCAGGAAATAAGTGATTTTTTTTAAATAAACGGAGTTATAAACGTATGTTTATTTTTGAGCCTTATTTATTTTTCCGCATATAAGATCGAAACATATTTTACATACTGAACACCGGGTGCAAAATTTTCATGAGTTGCATCCCAACGAGTCGCAATATAACACCAGACATTCACGAGAGAAATATATTATTCTTTTTTACATGCAAAACAAATACATTTTTGTTTATGTCATTCTCTTTTCATTGATTTAAGTCATTTCTACAGAATATCACCGCGTAACGCCACGCGCTCTCATTTATGACGTCACATTATTTCCTTTTATAAATTCTTTTGAAAATCTTATCAAAATTGTTAAGATTTACAATGATGTTTTTTAACATTTAAGTGAGTTTCGAACTCCCTAACGTTTTACTTAGGACGGAATGTTTTGTGATTTTTTTTTCTTTTCATTGACAGCTACTTAAATTGTGATAATTTCATGCATACTTTTTTTGTTACTACAGTAGACGATATAATAATATTGTAACAATTTGTAAGCTTTTTTGTTGCATTTTATCAATTAATTGGAACCAAGTACCTTATTCGCATAGAGAATTTATATAAATCTAGTGATTAAATATTATTATATTGATTTTATCAGTTTTGTTTTGTTTTATTACAATTTTGAACTTAATTGGTAATTTTGAAGCTGTTTGTCCGGCGGGATCATATTCTGATGGTCAAATTGTTACAATGTGCCCTCGTGGTCAATACCAGGATGCTACAGGACAGTCAGCCTGTAAACCGTGTCCATCCGGTAAAACGACGACAGGAATAGGTTCCATCCATGGTTCAGAATGTTCAGGTAAGATTAAACGGTGTCCATCCGGTAAAGCAACGACAGGAATAGGTTCCATCCATGGTTCAGAATGTTCAGGTAAGATTAAACGGTGTCCATCCGGTAAAGCAACGACAGGAATAGGTTCCATCCATGGTTCAGAATGTTCAGGTAAGATTAAACGGTGTCCATCCGGTAAAACAACGACAGGAATAGGTTCCATCCATGGTTCAGAATGTTCAGGTAAGATTAAACGGTGTCCATCCGGTAAAGCAACGGCAGGAATAGGTTCCATCCATGGTTCAGAATGTTCAGGTAAGATGAAACCGTGTCCATCCGGTAAAGCAACGACAGGAATAGGTTCCATCCATGGTTCAGAATGTTCAGGTAAGATTAAACCGTGTCCGTCCGGTAAAACGACGGCAGGAATAGGTTCCATCCATGGTTCAGAATGTTCAGGTAAGATGAAACCGTGTCCATCCGGTAAAGCAACGACAGGAATAGGTTCCATCCATGGTTCAGAATGTTCAGGTAAGATTAAACCGTGTCCATCTGGTAAAGCAACGGTAGGAATAGGTTCCATCCATGGTTCAGAATGTTCAGGTAAGATGAAACCGTGTCCATCCGGTAAAACAACGACAGGAATAGGTTCCATCCATGGTTCAGAATGTTCAGGTAAGATGAAACCGTGTCCGTCCGGTAAAACAACGACAGGAATAGGTTCCATCCATGGTTCAGAATGTTCAGGTAAGATGAAACCGTGTCCGTCCGGTAAAACAACGACAGGAAATTTAGGTTCCATCCATGGTTCAGAATGTTCAGGTAAGATTAAACCGTGTCCATCTGGTAAAGCAACGGTAGGAATAGGTTCCATCCATGGTTCAGAATGTTCAGGTAAGATTAAACCGTGTCCGTCCGGTAAAACGACGGCAGGAATAGGTTCCATCCATGGTTCAGAATGTTCAGGTAAGATGAAACCGTGTCCGTCCGGTAAAACAACGACAGGAATAGGTTCCATCCATGGTTCAGAATGTTTAGGTAAGATGTCACGTATAATAATTTATTGTAAGGAAACATATTGAGAAACATATTGAGTTCTGTTTAATCTTTTGCTAAACGGGGACATGGGAGATGTTGGTCCTTTTATTTCTTATAACCAGGCTAAATAAAACCGAGTCTGCAATTACATGTATAACCTTTTGACTTTGAAAGAATCTATGTTCAAATGGTAAACAATCAAAAACAGCATCAAAATTAAGAAATAAATTACCCAGAGTTTAGTGTAATTATATATAATATTATCAAAAAAATCAAAAACCTTTTGACTTTGATTTCATTAATATCCATGATTTCCCCTTTCCCATATTCTTAAGTAAAGAATCTATGTTCAAATGGTAAAAAAAGTCAAAAACAGCATCAAAATTAAGAAATAAATCACCCAGAGTTTAATGTAACTAAATTATACTGTATATGTATATAACAGATTTTTATTAAAATTTTAGTTGATGACAATACTAATGTTAAGATATCGGACAATAATGGTAAGTTTAGATAACATTCATAATAAATGATTAAAATGTTTATATATTATCTACTCAGATGAAACATATCACTCATATATAAACACATATGCAGATGTTTCAAAATCATTAAAAATATACTATGATCATCTTTTGGTAAAATACTTTTGGTGTAAAAATTTATTGAAATCTTTGAATTGAATTGAAATTTTTCCTGAATATGTCTAGTTGGAATATTTGGATGTATAAACTCTGTTGGGGAAGCTGTACTTGGCAAATGAGCCGCGCCATGACAAAACCAACATAATGGTTTTTATTAAATGTCCTTATTTAAAGTCCTCTGTACAATATGATAATCAAACTGTAAAAATTAATTATTGTCTGACAAATTTGATGTTTGAAAAAAAAACTGACAATTACCATAAAGTCTCTCTTAAAATGTAAGATGAACATGTTTTGAATACATACAGAGAAGATATGTGATATTTTAAACTGGTTATCAAAATTTTTACCCAGATATGTTTTGGCAAATATAAATTTCATATTGCACCCTTACTCTCACCAAGGGAAAGGCATTGTGTCGCTGACTTAAAGACACCATTTACAATTAAGAGGGTGGGGAATTGAATTTTTTTTAATATTATTTAGGAATTGTCTTTTCACCAGTATTATTCTTTAAAAGAGCTCTTCTGTAACAGTAGTGTATTATATATCTTATAGGCGGTGCAAGCAAAGCTGTCCAGGTAGGAGTGGCCTTATCTGTGGTCATGACCTTTCTAGTCCTAGTTGCAGTCGGGGTTCTGTTGGCATGTAGATATCTAAACAAGAGAAATTTGTGATGCAACGCTTTATTCAGAGTAATTGTTATTTTATATTTCTTCTCGAGCTATGTACATCTCAGTGATATCTGGATTAAACGTACGTTTTGTGGGCGCTCATTTTGAAGCAATAACGGTTTCCGAACTAGACGGTGAAATGTACATTGTGAAAGATGTGTTTATATTTCCTTTTATACTGTGTCTATCTATTATTCCTTGGCATTTCTTTTATGCATATAACACAGGAACAAATGCTACATTTTTACGGATATTCCACAGTGTCAAAACAGAACATAATTATGGAACAATTATCTACAACAGTGCAGATGTAAAAATTCTTATGTATTTTTTAAAGATCCTGTAACACAAATTTTTTTAGGGTTTTATATCATAAATATGATGCTCAAATTAGTATTTATCAATTTTGTAAGTTCCAAAAAGCATTATGTATAAAGATACTGTGAATCGGGCGACCCGGGTTCGATTCCCGGACGGCGCAAGTCACTTTCGTTGTGATTGATCATGAAATCCTTTTTACGGTCATTGGCACTGTACCTCTGCTCTGGCATGTACATAAGTTTCAGTTCCTTGCGAAAGTGAAGGCAACTAGAACTGGTAAACTGCTTGACAGCCGGCCCAGGACAAATGCGGTGGTTGAACTGTGCTCTGGTGAATTCAATGTGGGTTAATGTCGTGATCCGGAGTGAAAACTACCACCACCACCACCATGGTAAACAACCTCAATTACAACAAACAGGATCTTTAAACTTTAGATCTGAATAAGTTTTGTCATATACTTATTGATCTTCACGTACTGTACGTCGTATTTGTGATAAAATGACAATATTCGCATGTGTTCATGATAAAACGACAATAACTAGCGGATGTGTTCATGATACAACAACATAACTACTATTTTTGTTATTGTGATAAAGCGACAAGAAAAATGTATGTGTTTATGATAAAGCGACATGAAAATTGTATGTGTTCATAACAAAACGACACAAAACTATAGATGTGTTTATGATAAAACGACATGAAAATTGTATGTGTTCATAATAAAACGACACAAAACTATAGATGTGTTTATGATAAAACGACAATAATTACATGTGTTCAATGAAAAATATCAAAAACGGGTGTATGTGTTCATGATATAACAACATAACAATTTTTTTGTGTTTTTATTATAAAGCGACAAAAATGAAGGTGTTTATGATCAGTCGACAGTATGATGTATGTGTTTATGATAAAACGACAACAATTGCATGTCTTCCTTATTAAAACGACACAACAAAAAATATGCTTGTTTAAGTTAAAAGGACAACAAGCGTATGTGTTTATGGTAAAAATGTATGTGTTCATGATGAAAGGACGAAAAACTATGAATATATTTATGAGAAAACGACAAAAGCTTCTATGTGTGTTTATGATGAACAACAACAAGTGTTTTGTTTTGTTTGTTTGGGTTTTACGTCACATCGACACAGTATATGTCATTTCGCGACGTTCCAGCTTTACTGGTGGAGGAAGACCTCAGGTGCCCTTCCGTGCATTATTTCAGGCACGAACGGGCACCTGAGTAGAACTACCGACGTTCCGTAAGCTAGCTGGATAGCTTCCTCACTTGAAAGAATGCAAAGTAAACCAACAGGGACAAGTGATTTGAAGTCAACGACCTAAATCACTCGTGTACACTGGTGTATGTCTCTACAAAAAAAGATAATGTAACGACTAAATCAAATTTGCTTCCGATCTCTAGTAACTATTACTAAAGAGGGAATTTGTGTTTCTCATGCAACTAATTTCTATTTATTGTAATAAATTCATAATTGATTTAAAAGATGACCCATAGGTCATTGGATCCATAGGTCATTGGTGATAAGAAAGCGTCAAATGACTTGTTATATGACGGTAGGCTTGCTTTGTTTTAAAATTACAGATTGTATTCAAGTCCAATGTAACAATATAACAAAAGTTGAAAAATTTTTATTATTTTATGTAAAAAATTAGTTTGTTTTTAACTCCCGGGGAAAAAGCTTTTAAAAATTTGGACTTTAAAATCAAAACAATTTAAACTTTCATAAAGGGTTCAAATCTCATTATCAAGTGGCTGCCTTCTGTCTTTTGTTTACATAAAAATTCACGAGGAAAATGTTATATTTATCCGAGATGAACAAGAATAATCGGCGAGATGTTCCGCGTGAAATTAAGTATAACGAAAAACTACGGAAGCTTATCAGGGCCTCCACTTATCTAAATGTTTCACGCCATGTCAACTTGTTTCTTCTCGTTTTGACCAAAAACATTTCATGAAGACGTTATGATTAATACGTAATACATAAAACATTCCATGAAGACGTTATGATTAATACGTAAAATGTAGAAGTTTTAATCATTGCAAAAAAGCTTTGTTGAATTACGTGAGCTATTTGTCAATGCGAGTAACGTCTTTGCGTCTTACTAAATATTTCAACAAAGTCGTGAAATCAAGAAGTTTCGGCAGGATTTTTGTCAAAAGCTTCAAGCATATCGAGAAAAATTCAGCAATGCCTAAAAGCTTCTCATCTTTGACAGTAAATTTTATTGAGAAATGCAAAAACATCTTATCAGTGCGAATAAAAATAAGTTGACTTAGCGCAAAACATCATTCTCACCAATTGTAGGCCCTGATACGCTTCCGTAAATTTAACTTTTGTCACGTATTTTTTTTTTTTTTTTTTTTTTTTTTTTTTTTGCTCGATCAGATTTATTTCATTATATAATTTTATTTATTTATTTATTTATTTATTTATTTATTTATTTATTTATTTATTTATTTATTTATTTATTTATTTACGAGAAAAAAAATCTTATTTTTTTATGAAACAAGTAAATGTGAGATGTCATCGCAACTAATAATATGCGTCTGTAAAATTGAAAAATTAATAAATAAAAGGTGTTGATGTGGGCAATTTATGTTTTCCTGAAAAAAATAAATGTAACACATAAGGAAGTTATCTCTTTCAGCAAAACAACGATCATTTGTATCAAAAATGTAATTCATTACAAACAAGAACGTGTTACAAAATACAAGAAATATAATTCGTTACGGACTGGTAGGTGTTACATAATACAAGAAAATGTAATTCGGTACCAACTAGCACGTCTTACAAAATACAAGAAAATAAAATGCGGTACCAACTAGCACGTCTTACAAAATACAAGAAAATGTAATTCTGTACCAACTAGCACGTCTTACAAAATACAAGAAAATGTAATTCGGTACCAACTAGCACGTCTTACAAAATACAAGAAAATGTAATTCGGTACCAACTAGCACGTCTTACAAAATACAAGAAAATGTAATTCGGTACCAACTAGCACGTCTTACAAAATACAAGAAAATGTAATTCGGTACCAACTAGCACGTCTTACAAAATACAAAAAAAATGTAATTCGTTACCAACTAGAAGGTCTTACAAAATACAAGAAAATGTAATTCGTTACCAACTAGAAGGTCTTACAAAATACAAGAAAATGTAATTCGGTACTAACTAGCACGTCTTAAAAAATACAAAAAAAATGTAATTCGTTACCAACTAGAACGTCTTACAAAATACAAGAAAATGTAATTTGTTACCAACTAAAAGGTCTTATAAATACTAGAAAATGTAATTCGTTACCAACTAGCATCTTACAAAATACATAAAGAAAATGTAATTCGGTACCAACTAGAAGGTCTTACAAAATACAAGAAAATGTCATTCGTTACCAACTAGCACGTCTTACAAAATACAAAAAAATGTAATTCGGTACCAACTAGAAGGTCTTACAAAATACAAAGAAATGTAATTCGGTACCAACTAGCACGTTTTACAAAATACAAAGAAATGTAATTCGTTACCAACTAGCACATCTTACAAAATACAAAAAAATTGTAATTCGTTTCCAACTAGCACGTCTTACAAAATACAACTGAAACATATAACGATTATATCTTTCACAATTATAATAAACATGAACAATTCTTAAGATTTTATTTTAAATATTGACAATTAAGTTATCATCACATTTCATTGGAATGGGAATCGAAACATCAGGTGTTACAAAATACAAGAAAAATGCAATTCGGTACATACTAGCACGTGTTACAAAATATTAGAAATTATATTTTGGTACAAACTTGCAAGTGTTACAAAATACAAGAAAATGTAATTCGTTACGAAATGGTAGGTGTTACAAAATACAAAATACAAGAAAATGTAATTCGTTACAAACTATCAGGTGTGACAAAATACAAGAACAAAAGATGTAATGAAATGAACTTTCATGATTAACAAGATAAAAAATGCATTTTAACCTATAAGTATAACATGAAAGTTTTAAAATTTGAAATTTTACATAATACAAGTCAAAATTCTGTAGAATTTGTATAAATAATGTAATGAAGTTTGAACTTTTGCACGTTTGATAATTGTTAGAAGTAAAAGTCACGCAACATGAACCATGGCTTGTAGCAAAAAAAACTAATTATTTTTAATTATTTAATTACTTTATTGCTTTATAAGATATAATGAATGATAGCGATGTTTTATCAATAATTATCTCCCTTTATACCATTTCAAAATGTGATTCAATCGCAACTACTCGGCCCTTTCCGTCAGTTTTCGGATAAGGACCTCGAACACAATAGTATATATATATTCTTTATTATAGTCTCATCTATACACATATATACATATAAAACATTTAAAACATTAAAATTGTATATAGCCATTCTCGAAAGAATTACAAGAGACTTGTTATAGCTAATACTAAGAGGGATAACTCCACGTATATTCACATTCTCAACATTTAAATCATATAAATCAATTGCAATAGGATGACATAATTGCAAATTGTCATTATTAAAAAGTTATTTGAGACATTTAATTACAAAATTATAAGAGACTTTTTACATTCTAAAAGTTTGATAACCTCTACTGACCTTGTCTTAAAAACTTCCATAAGAAATTATACTGTAAAATACTAAATTTTGTAATAAAAACACTATCAAGCAATATAGAAAATGGTTTTACAAAATCATTTGTCACTCATGTTTAGACAATGGATGAACTGTTCAGTAGTGATTATCAAAACATAGGGATAAAACTTATTTATGAAATTAAAATATATCATATTCTATATTAAAATAGTATGAGTACACAGAACCGATGCGATATTTCGGTCTAACCTACGCTAAAAAACCAAACATGTAAAGAAATAGTAATTTAATGCTGGGAGTTTTTGACAAGTTTATTTTCAATATATGTAGTAAAAGTCCACCTAAAATAAGTGAATTAATAAGTACAAAAGCAAACAAAACATTTTTATATATTTATTATAATGATTGAAAGACCAAAAACCAATCTGTTGGCATTTGGTCGGAATTGTTTAAAATTGAACATCAGTGGGCATATTTAAATTACAAATTGTTGTCAGACATATTTTCAAGTATAATAGTACGGAACAGACATTAGATGTCAAATATATACATTCGTTTTACATTATCTCTGTTTCTGTTTACATCTGAAACCACGTGGTAGAACTACCTTCAATCCGAATTGTTTCCGAGGTTATTATAGATAATAGACGAGACTGTTCCGAGTGAATGTGATTTAAAGTAAATATTTTTCGAAATTATAAACTTTCACATAAGTAACAAGTCACACATGTTGAATTCACTTACGAGCTTATCTTTATTGTGAAAATATATGGACCCAATTATTCTATGAAAATCTTCCGACAATTAAGTATTAATATTTTTACAATCATTACGTTATATACACACATGTAGAAATATTTACAATAAATATTTTCACACACCCATGCCGATTTTGCGACTCCGTAAAAACGATATTGCACGGCCGTGCGTATGTTTTGATATGACGTCACATTGCTAGCGTTAAAGCGCGCTAATGAAAACGTTACACTATGGGCGCGTCACATGTTTCTTCTGTAAACATTTCTTATTTTGGGTATGTGATAAATAAAAAATTAAATTCGTGTAGGTTCATTAGAATCTACTTAATTTATTGAACTACTTCAATAAATTAATATTATGCTCGAAAGAGGATCGCATAATATAATTTTATTCGAACAGTTCAATAAATTCAGTATTGAACATACACACATTCAATATCCTCTATTCTAACAAGGCCCGCATTTTTCCCCATTGAACATAAAAGAACCGAAAGTGTGTGTTATTATGTAATAAAATCACAATTTGACGTTCTATATTTAGACATGTGACGTAATCATTATACACGTGACGTAACCACTAAAAATGTGACGCGCTGAAAATAAGTACGGAAACAAATCAGGAGCAATTTAGGTAAATATCAGTAATTAATGTATTTAGAACAATCGCTTTCAGCAGAAATAAAACGTAATCAGAACCTTAATTCTGTGATCATTTCATAAGAAGAGGATTATCAAGGTCCGTCTTTTTTAGAATATCTGATGATGTAACAGCATCTTTTGATAACGTAACAACTGCAGCTGTTGTTGTAGTAGCCTTAACAAGAGGTGCAGGTGCTGTTGTTGTAACCTCAGGTGTTGTAGTTGTTGTTACCTCCTCATGTGTTGTGGTTGTTGTTTCCTCAGGTGTTGTGGTTGTTACCTCGGGTGTTGTAGTTGTTGTAACCTCGGGTGTTGTAGTTGTTGTAACCTCGGGTGTTGTAGTTGTTGTAACCTCGGGTGTTGTAGTTGTTGTTACCTCAGGTGTTGTAGTTGTTGTTACCTCAGGTGTTGTAGTTGTTGTAACCTCGGGTGTTGTAGTTGTTGTTACCTCAGGTGTTGTAGTTGTTACCTCAGGTGTTGTAGTTGTTGTTACCTCAGATGTTGTTGTTGTTACCTCGGGTGTTGTAGTAGTTACCTCGGGTGTTGTAGTTGTTGTTACCTCGGGTGTTGTAGTTGTTACCTCAGGTGTTGTAGTGATGTTGTTGTTGTTACCTCGGGTGTTGTAGTTGTTACCTCGGGTGTTGTAGTTGTTGTTACCTCAGGTGTTGTAGTTGTTACCTCGGGTGTTTGTAGTAGTTACCTCGGGTGTTGTAGTTGTTGTTTTACCTCAGATGTTGTTGTTGTTGTTACCTCGGGTGTTGTAGTTGTTACCTCGGGTGTTTGTAGTTGTTGTTACCTCGGGTGTTGTAGTTGTTACCTCAGGTGTTGTAGTTGTTACCTCAGGTGTTGTAGTTGTTACCTCGGGTGTTGTAGTTGTTGTTACCTCAGATGTTGTAGTTGTTACCTCGGGTGTTGTAGTTGTTACCTCGGGTGTTGTAGTTGTTGTTACCTCGGGTGTTGTAGTTGTTACCTCGGGTGTTGTAGTTGTTACCTCAGGTGTTGTTGTTGTTACCTCGGGTGTTGTTGTTGTTACCTCGGGTGTTGTAGTTGTTACCTCGGGTGTTGTAGTTGTAACCTCGGGTGTTGTTGTTGTTACCTCGGGTGTTGTTGTTGTTACCTCGGGTGTTGTAGTTGTAACCTCGGGTGTTGTAGTTGTAACATCGGGTGTTGTAGTTGTTACCTCGGGTGTTGTAGTTGTTACCTCGGGTGTTGTAGTTGTTACCTCGGGTGTTGTAGTTGTTTTTACCTCAGGTGTTGTAGTTGTTGTTACTCCTGGAGTTGTGGCTGTTCCCTCTGGAGTTGCGGCTGTTACCCCTTGTGTTGTGGTTTTAAGTACCCAACTTGACTGAAAAGATAGAATAATCAGTAATTTATATATTCGTCAAATCATGACGTCACTAAGTTCTTGTTGAAAACAGATAACGTTACATTTTTAAATTATATGTACAGATGCCCGGTGCATTTCGTAATAAAGCACATTTATCTCACGATAGCGTGTATTTCACTTTTTAAAGATCCGCATTCAGATATAGTCCGGCTACTGTGAAAATTATATTTTATAATTTCACCGTGAAATTATCAAAATATTATTTCACTGCCCTCTGAAAAGCAGGTAATAAACAGAATATATTCAAGGCTTTTTCTTCTACAAATACAGGATTTATTGTGATCTAGTGGTATGGAACTAAATAATTCACGTGTGCTGGAAGCTACGAGTGAAACATGATATTTTTCACATCAAAATATGAAAATAAATCCAGTAAGGAAAATATAAAGAAAAAACTTGAATTTTCTTTGTATGATATACCTTTTCTCTCTTTTGATTTTATTTTATGAAGAATACCAAAAATATTTTCACTGCAGTGAAAAACATTTTACGGTGAAAATACGGAACATCAAAATACTCATTTCATATTATCAATATTTCTCAATATTGCCTTTAAATGTATGTAATACAGTAATTTAACCTTTTACACTCTAGTACAGTCCCTGAGGACGTTTTGTGTGCAAAAATGGTCCATGGATAAATGTTATACCAATGTAAAGCTAAATGTTTGAAGTTTACAAAAATTTTGGGTAGACATGTCAAATCATGGTACGTTTTGAGAAATCCAAGATGGCCGCCAAGATGGCCGCCAAATTATTGAAAAACGGCTAATACGCAATTTATATGATAAAATTAGTTCTTTTTGTATTTATTTTGGTACAGGTGATGTTAAAACTTCACATCCTATTGGAACAATATGAAAATGGAGGCATTTCCATTATTTTTTCATATTCTCTGAATTTCATAGATAAATTTGCTAAAAAATGCATGAAAAAATCATCAAAAATTGATATGGGGCTGACATTTTTTCCTACCAGCTAAGGCATAGCGGTGTAAATGAATATTTTTACCATATACTACAAAGACTTGAACAAGATCATACTAATATCACCCTTATTTTTTATCTTTATTGTAAAAGAATGTGGATTCTGATATTCTTAAAGTGGGTGGGGTAACGAAAACTAAGTCTCAGTATTTTGTTAACTGGTTTGTTATGATAATTAAAACTATGAATAGTCAACATGTATTGCACTTTGGCATGTACCTAAAGTTATAAATAATTAAGAAAACTTAGACTGATATTTTGTTTGTCAATATTCAACATGTTCTGTTGCCATGGCAACGGAGAAGTAAAATGAAAGACACACCTGAAAAGTATGACACTTTCAACTTTTAGCATTTTAAGCATGTTGTTAAGAATGCCACAAACTTATAGATAAATAACCTGTGCACAATGCCATGGTAACAAATTGAAAAAAAAATGTAACATTAAAAGAAGTCACATTTAATTCTAGCAAATTATCAACACAGATATTTTGAAATTAGATGAATAAATTTATTTCAAGAATTTGCATCATGCATTTGCTTTTTTCAAACTGCTATACATAGAAAAAGGTCATGTCAAATGTGAATGTCGGGTGGGGGCTGCGTTTATTGAACGCCGCCTTTCCTTGTCGATCTTGTTTATCATGTTTTGTTATGTTTGGAAAGGATAATTAATGGTGATAATAATAAGTAAAAGGCAGTCTTAAGGTAGAAATGTATATAAACATTATCAAATGTTTGAAACTGTACATATGGTAAACATTTAAGACTTTGCAGCTAAAACGAGAAATAAATAGGTCACTGGTTCAAATTCTAGGTCAAACAATATCAAATTTTAATGACAATCAAATTTATTGTTGAGTTCAAACTTTTTGGTTACAGCTTGTATTATGAAATTCTAACTTGCATAAGATAAAATTCTAGGTCAACTGATCTCAGTGTATAATTCTGCATCTGGAATTTTACAATCAAAATACAAAAAGATCACTAGAACAAATTAAGGTCAGCTGGCATATCATATTGTTGTGTCGCCTTGAAAAGGTGACATATAGGGGTTACTTTTGTCGGCGGCGTCGGCGGCGTCTGTGTCGTTGTCGGCGTCGTTGTCGGCGTCCCCTAAAGCTTGTCCGGAGCATAACTCAGTCACTATAAGTCTGATTGACTTCAAACTTGGTATGCATGCTTCTTTCAATAACCTGAAGTGCAGTGCACAAGGATCGGAACTCTGCAGTTCTTATTTTTTGAGTTATTGCCCTTTGTTAATTTTCATACTTTAATTTTGTCCGGGCCATTTCTCTTTAACTAAAAAAGCTATGGACTTGAAACTTCATAGGATGATAGATCTCATTAAGAAGAAGTGCAGTGCACAAAAACCGGTACTCTGCACTTCCTAATTTTTGAGTTATTGCCCTTTGTTAATTTTCATACTTTAATTTTGTCCGGGCCATTTCTCCTAATGTATAAAAGCCATGGACTTGAATTTTCATAGGATGATAGGTCTAATTAAGAAGAAGTGCAGTGCACAAGAACAGGTACTCTGCATTTCTTATTTTTTGAGTTATTGCCCTTTGTTTATTTTCATACTTTAATTTTGTCCGGGTCATTTCTCCTTAAGTAGAAAAGCTATGGACTTGAAACTTCATAGGATGATAGATCTTATTAAGAAGAAGTGCAGTGCACAAGAATCGGTACTCTGCATTCCTTAATTTTTGAGTTATGGCCCTTTTTTAATTTTCATACTTAATTTTTGTCCAGGCCATTTCTCCGAAAGTATAAAAGTTATGGACTTGAAACTTCATAGGATGATAGATCTCATTAAGAAAAAGTGCAGTGCATAAGAACTGATACTCTGCATTTCTTATTTTTTGAGTAATTGCCCTTTGTTGATTTTCTTACTATATTTTTGTCCTGGTCATTTCTCCTCAAGTATGAAAGCTATGGACTTGAAACATCATAGAATGATAGATCTTATTGATAAGAAGTACAGTGCATAGAAACTGCTGCTCTGCACTTATTATTTTTTTAGTTATTGCCCTTTGTTATTTTTCATATTTCATTTTTATTCTGGCCATTTCTCTTAATTACATTGTTCACAAGGCGACACATCCGACAAGCGGAGTTCTAGTGTCTGTAATACAAATTTCTTTAGCTTCAAAAACAAGAAAGTAAGTCACGAGGTCTTAAATTCTAGGTCACCTTATAACAAAGAGGAAAACCCTAACCCTAACCCTTAGGCAGGGCCATTTTTATGCTCCCGGAAAAAATATGGGGGAGCATATAGTCGCCGGGCGTCAGTCCAAAACCTAGTCGGGGAGCATCACCTGGTTCAACCGGTTCTTCTAAACCGCCTCCGTGGTCGAGGGGTTAGAGTCGATGACTTCTAATCCAGTTACCTCTCTGGCGTGGGTTCGATCCCCGGGAGATGCTTCGGTAGTTTAGCGCGGAGGAAGGTAGTCTAGTACTGGTGTAACTCTCCAGGAACGATGGTTAGGAAACTACTCGCCTATATGACTGAAATACTGTTGGGAAAAGGCGTGAAATGAAACAAACAAACAAACAAACAATTTAATCCAGACTCATGGTCATTATTTGATGCCTGCAAACTTAGCACTTTACGGAGAGTGTCGGATGTGAAGTCTAGGCGTCTATTGTTCCACAGACAACAATTGATCTCGGACATTGAGTTTTACGGTCATTTGTCTGTCAAAAAAGTTAGTACAGTAGCTTAGTAGAAATTGTCCATTACTCTTCTGGTTATTTATCCATGAAAGTCAGATAGTTCAACCAACCTTCAAGATATTCAACAAAGAAGTGTTGAAAATTGGGCGTATAACCCAAGACCCGCCCCTTTCATGATTTGGAAGAAACAATGGTAAAAGTCTTCTAGAAATTGTTTCACATGCTCTAAACAATGGCGTTAAAGGGATGATTCTATAAAGGATTTCATATATAAATTTGACTATGTAAATCAATTGACCCTTGGGAAAGGTAATTTATAATAATCAAACGGATCATGACTTTACCAAGCTTAGAATTTGTGTATTATTTCTATTATATGTTTTGTATCGTGACATAAATTGATATGGTCATAGAATGAATGCTTCACACTTAAATATCAAAGCATATTATTTATGGAGAAGAAAGTTTTCAACGCATTTTCTTTATAACACAAAGTATTATGACTCCTGGGGTTAGGTCAACTTTGACCAGATTGTCAAGATTTGAAAAATAAATTAAGGTTTTTTTGACAATGCTTTTAACCCAAAATCTAAGATCTGGGCATTTGGTTTTTTGGAAAAAAATATGATTTTAAAACAAAGTTTTCCTATGTGTCTCATATGAAATAAGTTGGACCCTAGGGGTGGTTTAAATTTTCATTTGAATAAATTTTGTACTGGTCTATACAAGGCTACAACAGAAATAATTAGCTATAGGCATCAGTTTGGGAGAAGTAATTTTTTTTAGCTTTTCCTTTATGTAAATTGAAGTGACCCCTGGCATAAATGAATTTGACCACAAGATCGTGATTTAAGCAAATTTAATAGTATTATATACTAGGTCCTGCAGTTATGGAGAAGAATATTTTCATGTTTTTCCTATATTTACACTGTGTAAAGAAAGTATACTCCGGGGCTTCGCAAGAAACATGAATGTGTACTTCTTGACCTTTAACCAACCATGACCTTGATGTTGTGTCATGTATATCATAAGCACATAGTCTCACGATGGCGATAATTTGTGCCAAGTTAATTAAAATCTTCCATAAAGTCAAAAAGATATGGAGAACATATAACCTTGATCTTGGTTGCAGCGACCTGGATGTTGAGGTCTGTAAATTGTGTCGTGGTGGGGATCATTTGTGCTAAGTATTTTTAAAACCTTTGAATTGTCAATAAGTTATAGAGCAGGCATGAAAAAAAGAAGTTTTTATTACATTGGACCGTTGAGTGTGACCCTAACCTTCAGGGTTGTAACTTGCTTATTGTGCTCTGCCAATGGTGTCACAATGTTGATCATTTCTGTCAATTTATCTTAAAACATTTCAGAGGTTTAAAAGTAAGAGACAGACGCGAAATGTAGACTTTCTTATTTATGAACTGTAAGTGTGACCCTGACCTTTGGGGTAGCAATTCGATTATAGCGATCTACACATCGTCTCATATTGGTGATCAATTGTGCCAAGCTATTTAAACAAAATTTCACAGGTTTAAACTTTAAAAACTATGGAGGGGACACGAAATATAGATTTTTATACATTTGACCTTGACCTTTGGTGTAGCAACCCAATGTTTGCGTTCTGCACATGTTCTTATACTGGTTATCAATTGTGCCAAGATATTTTTTTTTAAATTTCAGCGGTTAAAATGTTGGAGCAGACACGAAATGTAGACTTTTTTACATTTGACCCGAAAGTGTGGCATTTACCTTTTGTGTAGCAACCCAATTATTGCGCACTGCACGTCGTGTTATAATGGTGATCCGTTGTACCAAGTTTTTTCAAAACTTTACAGCGTTAAAAAAGATATGGAGCGGACACAAAATGTAGACTTTTTATTATTAAATGAACACTTTTAACAGTTGACCTTAAAGTGTGACCTTGACCTTGGGGGTAGCAACCCAATTATTGCGATATGCATATTGTCTTATTATGTTGATCACTTGTGCCAAGTTATTTCAAAAAATTTTCAGGGGTTAAAAAGTTATGGAGCGGACACGAAAGTGTTATGGACGGACGGACTGACAGACGGATTCCATTCCTATAATCCCCCTTTCCGCTACGCTGAATGTGATTACTGATTAACAATGTTGGTTTAGTCCCATCTGAAAAAGCCATACATATAAAAATTCAAGATCTTTTTATTTATTTCTGGGAATATTTGAAATCATTACGCATTGTCAGTTGTATTTTTAACTTCTGTGACTAAGATATACAATAATCCGATTTGTGCAAAAAACAACAACAAAACAAAATTTCTGTCAAATTTTATGAAATATAGCCTATTTTTACGTCACATCAACACTTTAAAAGGCTTTGTGGCGACTATCCTGCTTTACTGAGGAAGACCTTTATATGTTTCCCTCCGTGCATTATTTCATAATATTGACACCTTCTGGTCATCTTTTAGGGCAAATCAGAATTACAATGTGTATAAGAAAGTGAAATTTGGCTTATTCAAATAAAGAAAACAGTAAAATTGTTTGTAAAATAAAGAAATCAAAGTCATATGTTCATCCTGATTCCAAATTCAAATACGTCCTGAACTTAATCTTAATTTGGAACACACTAATAAAACTATTTGCATATGAACATACTCATAAATTCTTTTCAATGTGATTTATAATAATATTATGAAACAGACCGCCATCTTCTTAAATAGTCACATATTTCTAAAGAACGAAGTGAGACTGCGGTAACAAAACTCATATTATTTACATATCGGAATTACTTATATTGTATATTTAATTTGAGACTTTTAAGTTTTAGTTTTGTGAACATTCTTCTGTAGCTTGTTCTTAATGTATACTAGAGTTTTTCCACTCTTTATCCGATTTTCAATAGGTAAAACAATGGAGATTCTATACAACGTTTTAGGGATTCTGTTTTTCTCTATTTTAATGTGTTTAAATGGAGGGGTTGTTTTTGGTAATAAGACAAGATACCATTTGGTGAACAGTCCGGAGTTTGTTGATGATCATTTTAGACATACTTACAGGTGGTCTGACCTATAGATCACAAAATATTTATAAAGAATTTTGAGGCAACTGTGGAATATGGCCTATTTGTTTTGCGTAACAAGACATCTATACAGGATCTATAACTTATGCTGCTCTATATTTTTTAGAATAGAAGAAAGTTTCAAATATTTAATATAGAATGGTGATTTTATCCATGTTTCTCCAACTGTTACAATATTTCAGCTGGGCTTGTATTGCATTGAGATGAGAATACAATCATTTAGGTTTTCCAGATGCATCTATGGCACATTATCTTGAAGATGTTCTTCATCACAACATATTGACATATTGTCTATTCCTTCTTATCACATTTGATCTGTGGGATTTTTTTTGCTTTATTTGTTTTTTATTATCATTATTTAATTACCAATAAATAAAGAATGTTGAAAAGTTTTTTCTCAAATCGGGCCAAACATCAAGCATAAATTTTATTTTTCAATATAACTCTGAGTAGATTTCATTATTATCTTTTGCCTCTAAAACTTTAAGCGTTTTTATTGTAACAGTAACGGATCAGCAAAATGTTACCGATGTTTTAATTCAAATTTGTGTTTTTTCATAGAAAGTAAATGTAGTGAAATTTGAAATGATTTTTTTTTATGTTTCAAATGTATCCAATTCTGTAATGCATAATCATGACATTTACTTCTACAACATGCTTGAAATGATAAAACTGAAAGCCTCATACGTTTCCGGGTTTCTCTCATTTTACCACTTTGTTGCCATGGCAACAGAACCAATTAATGTTGTTGATGGAATGAAAATGTACCTTTTAAAAAATTAAAACATTAAGAAAATTTTAAAATGTAATCTTGTTGGTTATTCTTAGTCTTAATAATCATTATATATCAGTTCACTAGAAATTGGGACTCAATTTTCGTGTACCCCACCCACTTTAGGAATGTCAGAATCCACATTCTTACACAATAAAAATAAGGGTACATTTAGTGAGTTGTTGATCAGGTCTTTGTAAAATATGGTAAAAATATTAGTTTTCACCACTATGCCTCGACTGATAGGAAAAAATGCCAGCCTCATGTCGATTTTTGATATTTTTTCATGCTTTTTTAGCCAAATTTCTCTATGAAAACAAGAGTATATGTATAAGAAAAAGGAAAAGGACCCCTTTTCATATTGTTCCAATAGGATGTGAAGTTTTAACATCACCTGTACCAAAATAAATACAAAAAAGAACTAATTTTATCATGTAAATTGAGTATTAGCCATTTTTCAATAATTTGGCGGCCATCTTGGATTTCTCAAAACGTACCATGATTTGACATGTCTACCCATTTTTTTTGTAAACTTCAAACATTTAGCTTTACATTGGTATAACATTTATCCATGGACATTTTTTGCACACAAAAGGTCCCCAGGGACTGTACTACTCGTGAAATAGTAACATATGGTTTGTTTTTTGTTTTTTAGGTTTTACGTCACATCGACACAGTATAGGTCATATCGCGATGTTCCAGCATTACTGGTGGAGGAAGACCTCAGGTGCCCTTCCGTGCATTATTTCCGACACGAACGAGCACCTGAGTAGAACCACTGACATTCCGTAAGCTAGCTGGATAGCTTCCTCACATGAAAGAATCCAAAGTCCCTGTCAGGATTCGAACCCACAGCGTTGAGGGGCAAGTGATTTGAAGTCAACGACCTTAGCCACTCGGCCAAGGACGCCCCATTAACATTTGGTGCTAGCTCATATAAAATTGTTTTCTTGATAATATTATAACTCCAAGTTATCTTCTATAAAGATTTGATAATTGATTACTATAGCTCTAAAACTAAACACAAAAGACATAAGCCGATTTTAAATCAGATGAGTTTGGAGAGTTAACAATGTCGTATTGATCTATTATTCGTAAAAAAAGTTTCAAAACGTGTCCAATATCCGGGACAGCCGCAATGATTGACCTTAAACATATCTTATACTTGGAA